GTGGATAACTGCAAGGTCTTGCACTTGGGGCATAGGAATAGCTGTCATAAGTACAGGTTAGGTGATAAGTGGCTGGAGAGCAGCACTTGTGAAAGGGACCTTGGGGTACTGGTTGACTGCAGGCTAAACATGAGTCAGCAGTGTGATGCGGTGGTCAAGAGGGCAAATGCCACCCTTGGTTGCATAGCCAGAAGTGTGGCTTCTAGATCAAGAGAGGTATTACTACCACTCTACATGACTCTAGTGCGCCCGCAACTGGAGTATTGTGTTCAGTTTTGGGCCCCTCATTACAGAAAGGATATAGTCAGGTTAGAGTCAGTGCAGCGTAGGGCCACAAGGTTGGTGGCCGGTTTGCAGGGAATGCCGTATGAGGCGAGACTGAGGGAACTGGGTCTCTTCAGCCTGGAGAAGAGGAGACTCAGAGGGGATCTGTTGGCGACATACAGGTATGTGAGGGGATGTCACATGGAGATGGGTAGAGACCTGTTCTCCCCTGCAGAGGAAGGCAGAACGCGCTCCAACAGAGCAAAGCTCAGGTAGCCAAGGTTCCATTTGGATGCCAGGAAGCACTTCCCGACAGTCAGGACCCCGAAGGTGTGGAATGGGCTTCCCTGGGAGGTGGTTGAGGCCCATTGGTGCAGGTGTTCAAGGATAGGCTGGACGTCCACATGGTGGGCATGTCGTGAGTGGAGCCGACTGGTGCCGGAGGTCAGACTAGATGGCCCGGGAGGCCCCTTCTGACTCGCTCTGTTTTCTATGTTTCTATGTTTCTTTAACAGATCTTTAGTACAACATTCTAGATGAATCACCTTTTCTAATGCCACTCTTTTATTTTTGCTTTTACTCATTTTCTCTTTTTAAAATTTTTATTAAACTAACAAAAACAATACAATTAATATAGTAACAATAAGAATAATTAAACAATACATTAGTATCAGTGCTACCTCCACCAGGACCAACAACTCTAATTACTTAATGTAAAATCATGTATTCATTCAGGTTGCTCCACTTCCCTTCCAGAAATGCATGAACTCTTGTGGTGGTTCACACCTCTTTTCTTTTATTAAAACATATTCAATAAAAGGTCTCTGAACATTTTCAATTTTTTCCACTTATCAAACCTTTTCTCCATTTACTATGAGAAATCAACTTATCATTAATAGCTATATTCTGAACTTTGTTATCCCAGTCAGCTATATGATATTCACCTTTTATTTTCCAGTTCTTGTTATTATTAATCTTACTGCTGTGAATAAATTTATCAATTCTTTAGTGTCTTGTCCCATCTGTTTTTTAAATAATGACAATAATGCTAATCCAGGATCAACTTCAATATTTAAATTCAATATTTTACTAATTTCTTTAAAGACCCTTTAAAGAAGGGTCATTTATATACTTGCACTTCCACCAGATATGGAAATATGTACCAGTTGCATCTCCAACAAATATGTACCAGTTGCATCTCTGATAACTTAATTGGTAACATCATAAACAAAATCATCATCATCATCATCTTAGGTAAAATCTTCATTTTGAATGCTGTTATTCTACCAAACCATGATAAACCAATCTTTTAAAATTCATTCATCTTCTCTTTCACTTCATATTTTAACTGATCAAAATTGTTCTCTTTCAAACATTGTATTTTTTGTAATATTTACTCCTAAAAACTTAATAATATTACATATCTTAACTTCTAACCCTAACCCTAACCCTACCCCAAGCACGAGCCTGGCCACCCCCCCCCCCAGCACAACCACAAACACGCCTGGCATCCCTGCATGCGCTCGTCATCCTGGAACTTGGAAAAGAAGATTGATATACTAGATAAAGAAGAAATGGAAAGGGAAATTACTGATGACAAAATTGAAGTGGTAATAAATAAATTGAAAATTGGTAAAACCCCCAGGGTAGATGGGCTAGGCCCTGAATTTTTTATTTGCAAATTAATGATACCCAAATTGAAAATTTTGATGAATAAAATCTTAGAAGGTGAGGAGATCCCCCCCATCATGGAAGGGATCTCTGACTGTTTTAATACTGAAGGCTGGAAAATATGTGGTAAATATGGGCTCTTATAGACCAATCTCCCTGATAAATCAAGATGCAAAATTTTTTTCTACAATCCTATCCAACAGGTTTATTTATTTATTTATTTATTTATTAAAACATTTTTATGCCTCCCCATTCGCCGAAGCCTCGGGGCAGCTTACAACAAATAAGTTAAATCATCATCACATTTTAAAATATATACATTAAAATAAATTACAAATATATAATAGAAAATATATAAATATATAGAAATATAAATATATATAAATATAAAAAGGTTGTACACCTTTATTGGAAAATATATGAATAAAGATCAAAATGGCTTCCTGAAAGATAGACATATGGCAGATGTCTCGAGTAGAGTTCTGAATATTATACATCTAGCAAAGAAAAATAGTTGAAAAGCTGGGACTTTAGCATTAGACATTTTTAAGGTGTTTGATTTGGTGGAATGGGATACATTAAAAATTCTGATAGATAATATGGGATTTGGAGGTAAGTTTAAACATTGTATAAATCAATTATATAAAGATAACACCACAAGAGTCCTGGTAAATGATGGAATTACAGATATAATATCTCTAGGCCAGGAAACATGTCAAGGATGCCCCTTGTCTCCCATTTTATTTGTGATGGTAATGGAATTATTAGCTATTGTACAATGAAAGATACAGAATTTATGGTATAAATCCCAAAAGGAAGGAGGATTAGGTTTACCAAATATTAAAACATTATTTAGCAAATCAAATAAGATAGATATAATGATCCATAAAGAGTTACTTTGTGGTGATGTCAAATTCAAAAAGGATAGAAATTGTATGGAAAATATTTTATTTAAGGGGGATAATATTTTAGATTTAAAGAAAATAGAAAATCCATTTCTAAAGAATATGTTGGAACTGTGGAGACATAGTAGGAAGATTTTAAGCCCAGTTATTTCCCCATTAACCCCAATAGTTGCAATGAAGAATTTTCCTGAGAATTTGAAAGGTGAGTTATGGAGAGTATTAAGAGAACAGAACATATTTAGACTGAAGGACTGGTTAAAAACTTTGGATAATAAAGAGAAAATGGGTCAGATATGTGCAGAATTGAAGGGTTCGGGTTGGAAGATGATCCAGTTACAAAATTGGGCAGTGGAAACGAGGAAAACACTCAGTGAAAATAAGAAAATTAACTAAATTTGAAGAACTGGAAGAGAGTATAGAGAAGGAAGATAGTAGCAATAGGAAAGGAATTACAATATTTGTTGTTGTTAGTCGCGAAGTCATGTCCGACCCATCACGACCCCATGGGCAACATTCCTCCAGGCCTTCCTGTCCTCCACCATCCCCCCGAGTCCACTTAAGCTCACACCAACTGCTTCATCCTTCATCCGTCCATCCACTGTAACTTGCCAGCCATGGCCGGAGGTCTCGGGCTGGCAATCTAAGGGGGATGGCCTAAGGACGTTGCTGCTGTTTGGGACCATGCAGGGGCGTGCGGGGGCTGGGCTGGCCAGAGACACTGTGTGTGTGAGCTTTTGTAATTGGGTAGGTTGGAGGATTTTATTGTATTTTTATTGCATTTTAACTGTATTTTATTAGATTGTTTTAAAGGATTCACGCCTGGCTGCTACTATGGGATTGCCTGGGGAGCACGTCGACACCACCATTGGGGTGGTTTTGGGCAATGGTCGATATGGCATTGGGGGTTTAATGTGTCATCATAGAAGAAGGAGGGACAGATGGTTGACACCTGTTCCCCCTTCTGGTTATTCCCCCAACCGTAAGGTTCCGGGTATGCTTATCAACTGCCCCTCGGGCCTGACAGTGCTGTTGCTTAATGCCAGGTCGGTCCATAACAAAACATCCCTCATCCACGACTTAATTGTGGATGAGGGGGCCGACCTGGCTTGCATTTCAGAGACCTGGGTGGGAGAGGCAGGGGATGTGTCCCTCTCTCAACTGTGCCCGCCTGGGTATCTGGTCCAGCACCAACCACGCCCAGAGGGGAGGGGAGGGGGGGTCGCTTTAATCTGTCGAGCTTCAATTTCTCTTGCGGGGCTTCCTGTTCTCTTGAGACCGGGCCTAGAGTGCCTTTACCTGGCGTTGGGCAACTGAGACAGACTGGGGATTCTGCTGGTGTACCGTGAACCCTTCTGCCCATCAGACTCCCTGCCTGAGCTGACGGAGATCGTCTCGGACCTAGGATTCATCAAATCTTTATTGGTGTTTTGGACTTAAAACTATTGAAGTGTATTTCCAAGATGCTGGCATCTCACTCATTCCAATATTCTCTTGAATAAAGATTTTAATTTTAGACTCAACATCTTCTTAACAACTTTATAATACTCTGGACCTCAACCATCTATCCCAGGAGTTTTCCCTACTTTTAACTTACCAATAATATCTTCTATCTCCTCCTCTCTAACTCATTGTTCCATCACCTCCCTACCCATTTGTTGTAGTTCTTTTCCCAACATTCTTCTCTATGTATGATCTAATTTTATCAAATGACACCTTACTACTTGAGTACAACTTAAAAAAGAATCTAAAAAACATTTCTAATTGGTCTTATGTTAAATTACATTTTTTACCACTCTCATCTTTCAGTAACCCAATTAAATTTTTAGCTTTCTTTTGTTGTGTGGCTCTAGCTAGCAATCAAGAATTCTTATTACTAAATTCAAAATATTCCCTTTTTAAGTATATTAAATTTCTCTGTATTTTTTCAGTTTCAGTATCTTGCAATTCTTTTATTTATTTTTCAGTTTATATCTTGCCCTTTTCCTACAAAGGGCTCAAGGCAGCTTACATTTCCTCCTCCATCTTATCCCCACAACAACCCTGTGAGGTAGGTTGGGCTGGGAGTCTGTGAATGGTCCAAAGTCACCCAGTTGGCTCCATAGCTGAGCAGGGAATAGAACCCAGTTTATCTGAGTCCCAGTCCCATGCTCTTAACCACTATACCACACTGGCTCTTTTATCTTGAATTACTGTTAAAATATGTATGTCTCTATTTTATATACTTTTTCTTAAATTCTTTTATTTGTCCTTCTAAAATTTCCACACATTTAAGTCTTTGCCTTCTTAAATTATACGCTTCTTTAATATCTAGCCCTCTTGCAACTGCCTTCATTGTATTCCAAATCAAATCTTCTTGACTACCTTCTCTATCATTAATCTCCTATATCTCTCTTAATTTTTTCAATTCTATCTGTTATATCTTTGTATTGCAAAATATTTACATCTATTTTCCATCTTTTATCTATAATCACATTTAATTTTGATTCATACTTACAAAGCATGATCTGTCACTTTTATCAAACCTTTATCTGCTTTGCACACTCTTATTATTAGACACAAATATATAATCTAACCAAGTTGAAGGCCCCAACAATAGACATGGGTAGATGAGATAGGTGCTTAGTTTTTGTATTCTGTCTGTCATGTCTTTCTCAGGCTCTCCCCAGTTCATTCCCACTGGATGCCCAACAGCTCACAGCTGATCTGCCAGAGCTTTTTTGTTGTATCTTCATCACGACCCTGAGGAGCAACGCATGCTTCTTTGCAGTCACTATGAAAGCAAAGAAGACACATCCATTAGGCACTTAACCTTCTATCACTTGAAGGGAGTGCTTATCATCACAAATCTGCCTTTCCCCACCTAATGTGCCTTGATGATAAGACTCATAATTCAAAACATCTGGAAAGTATGACACAAGCTAATATGGTGGGTGCCACTCACCATCAATCAATTCAAACCACTGTTGCTTATTTAAATAGTGCTGCTTTCATTTCCCTAATTACCTATCCAAGAATGTTTTTAATCCTGTTCAGACTCTCAGAGAACCCATAGCATGTTGTAGGGTAGTGTAGGACATGTTTCACCAACTAAAACAGGCCCCCAAACCAGAGAATAGCCAGGCCAAGTAAGCCATCATTGTTGTGTAGTCACTCTGGTGCCTCAGTGAATCACTGAATACAATATTATTATATTGTGATTCACACAATCAGGTCAAGTCACCATAGCTTATTTAGGCCAAGAACTGGCCTTCTGAATCAAGAGTGCCCTCTAGGCTACAGCACTGGCTTATTTTATCTAAGCCCCACAATGTGAAGATGGTCAACTGCCTTAACAAGCCAATGGAGATGCATTAGACTGCATAAAACCTTCAATCCAAGCTAGAACCTCAGTGTGAACAATGTATTGCACCAAGTAGCAATATAAACTCTTTGGGCTTTCTTTGAAAGTCCAGTATCTGACAGCCTGTCTATGACCATAGACTGCTTCTGGACAATTGTAAGTCAAAACATCCAGAGGATCACGAGTTGCCCACCTCTGGTTTAGAAGTTCCTGAAGTAACTGTGTTATTTTGTGTAGACTTTTTCAAGGAAAGATTTCTCCAGTGTTCACAGTCTGCAGATTTCTTACATCTCAGTCTCTGTTGGCATTGTGTGCATGAGTTCTTGCAGTATTCCCAGGAACACACAAGAAGCTGACCACTTTGGCAGGACTGACAGCTTGGACTCTGAAAATGAGCTGTATGAAGAGGAGTTGGCCAGTCTCAGCAGGACTGACAACTCGGGCTCTGATAACGAGATGGTCATTGAAATGGACACAGCTCTAGCTGCAGTCCAAGGCCTGTGTCTGCTAGGAAAGAGATTCATTTAAGGGCAGCTGAGGGGCCTAGTCAACCTGCCTGTGGGAACGAAGAACAACAACATCCTGAGGTGGCGGGGGTGGGGGGGTGGGATTTAGAGATGAGGAGTCTATCAGATGGGAAACTCCAGCCTCCTGAGGATGTGGACCTGAAAGTCCATCATCACAGTCACAGGGTGACCCAATTGGGATTTTGGAGGAAAACAGGTGTGCTCATTTCCACAGTGCTCCTATCTACCAAGACAGACACAGGATTCATAAGCAAAACTTTGGGTGAAGAGACCCAGAGAGTTCAACATTTCACTTTGCCAAAGACATTTGGCAAGATGCACTGGTGTGTCTGTTACTGCTGGGAGGGAATACTCACCTCATAACAGTTGTATGCCTTTGCCAAAGCTGATACTTTAAGTTGTGTCTGGAATCAAAAAAGCAGGTTGCTTATCTGTAACTGATGTTCTTCGAGTGGCCATCTGTGCATTCACACATATGGGTGCTGCGCCTGCACAGTGCCTAGGCTGTAAGATTAGAAAGCTAACGGTTTTTGGTAGGAAAACTCCGCTCCCCTCCCCCTCCATGGTATAAATAGGGCGGAGTGTCCGCCATTTTACTCAATCTTGGAGTCCGAACATTTGCCCCCTTGAGGTTTAAGTATATAACAGCAAACGTCACCGGTACCGTGAATATTAAAGTATGGTACCGATGGAGGTCGTCCACTCACTGACACCGAGCGGGGCCAGTGGTTGGGTTGTGTGAATGCACAGATAGCCACTCAAAGAACATCAGTTACAGGTAAGCAACCTGCTTTTCTTCATCGTGGCCTCTGTGCATCACACATATGGGTGATTAGCAAGCTTACCAGACTCGGAGGAGGGAGGTGTCATCAGCGAAGAATAGATGAGAGAACTGCTCTGCCAAAAGAGCAGTCCTGTCTGGCAAGGACATCCAGCTGATAATGCTTGGCGAAAGTGCATGGAGCAGCCCATGTTGCAGCTCTGCAGATATCCCGCGGCAAAGGCAGATGAAGTTGCTACTGCTCGTGTAGAATGACCTCTTGGAAACACAGGTAAGTCTATTTTTGCTAGCTGGTATGCTAGGACGATAGTTTCGACGCTCCATTTAGAAAGTCTCTGAGATGTGACTAGGGACCCTTTGTCATGCTTGGAATACTTAATGAAGAGTCTATTAGAACGACGGAAGGATTCTGTACGAGATCTGTAAAAAGCCAAGCAGCGTCGAACATTGAGCGTGTGAAGAGGCCTTTCAATTGGATTCAAAGGCGATGGAAAGAATGCAGGCAAAACAATCTCTTGACTCATGTGGAACGGTGTAGCCACCTTAGGCAGAAACGACGAATCCATCCGAAGAACGACCTTTTCTTTATGAAAATTCAAATACGGTGGGTCTATTCGGAGTGCACAAAGTTCGCTAGGTCTCCGAGCTGATGCGACCGCTATAAGGAAGGCCGTTTCCCAAGAGACTAGGCGTAGGTCAACAGTCACCAAAGGTTCGAACGGGGGCTTTGTAAGCGCCTGAAGCACTACAGAAAGACTCCATGTTGGCATAACAGGACGCATGGAAGGATGTAAATTCTATAATCCTCTATTGAAACGCTGAACTATAGGTTGAGAGAAGACCGATAAGCCTTGTACAGTGCCACGATAATGTGATATGGCAGCTGCGTAAACTTTAATGGATGGTTTAAGTCCCGAGTGGTACAGTTCCAAAAGGAATCGTAAGATATTCTCAATCAAAGCCATTTCAGGAGCGAATGAATGGTGTTCAGCAAAAGATGAGAACCTCTTCCATTTCGATGCATAAGACCGACGGGTGGACGTTCTCAAAGCAGATTCGAGAATCGCTTGAATATCTGGATGTAAAGCTGTCGGTACCGAAGCGATTCCCATTGAATTCAAGGGAGGGGTCATTTGTACAGTTCATCGAACCGGGTTCTCTGGTACTTGAGATGTCGTCGGTATTGAGTCAGCAGGAAGATTTAGCTGATGTGTCAGGCCATCAACTTCAAAGAGGTCAGGTCTGGTGCCTGAGCGCTCCATTCTGTTGTGTTAACAACTGAGGAATTGTCGGGAGCTGAAGAAACACTCCCCTGGACAGTCGACCGAGAGTGGTAAACCAAGGTTGTCTCAGGCACCATGGGGTTATTAATATCCCTGTGGCGTTGTCTTGAACTATTTTCAATGTAACTTTGGTTAGGAGTGGAATCTGAGGAAAAGCATAGAAAGTCGTCTGTCCAATTCCCACTCGTGGGTCATTGACATCTGTCTGCTCAGCATGTTGGCTTCTACGTTGTCAGTTCCCACCAAGTGAACCGCTAGAAGTAGTATGTCCCTTGGGATACACCAATCCCAAATTTCCATTGATAGATGAGCTAGAGTTGGTGACTTTGTCCCGCCCTGTTTGTTGATGTAAAAAACAGCAGTGATGTTGTCGGATGCAATTTGGACAACTTGACAGCATAGTACAGTCTCGAAAGATTTGAGAGCATTGAAAATTGCCAAAAGTTCAAGGAAGTTGATATGCTTCGTTGTTTCCTGTTGGTTCCAAGTCCCTTGGACCCCAAGTCCTACACATGCTGAACCCCATCCGAAGAGGGATGCATCGGTGTACAAGGTTATTGTTGGTTGAGGTGGTCGGAACGGAACACCGATAGACAGGTTGTCTGGAATAGTCCACCAAGTCATAGTACGTAGGATCGACAGTGGGATCCAGATCAGCTTGTTGGGTGGATCCCATTGCGGGTGAAAAGATCTATTGAAAAACAGCTGTATGGGCTGCAGTTGTAGTCTGGCATACAGGACAATGGCAACTGCAGCAGCCATGTGTCCCAAGAGTCTCTGGATAGTGACGGCTGGTACCGTTCTATTTAGTCGAATTCGATGAATATGGTTGCAGAGACTGTCTTGACGGTTCGGAGGTAGAAAAGTTATCTCTTGAGTAGAATCGAGGCGTGCTCCGATGAAGTCGATGACCTTCGTCGGAATAAGGGACGATTTCTCGTGGTTCATGTAAAGTCCAAGATCGTCAAGTAAAGCGCAAGTTTCATGTACAGCTGAGAGGAGGTCTCATCTAGTCTGTGACACGATGAGCCAATCGTCCAAATATGGGTATATTTGTATGCCCTGAGTCCGTAAGTATGCGCACACCGAGGCCATACACTTCGTGAAGACTCTGGGGGCAGTAGCCAGGCCGAAAGGCAAAACATTGAATTCAAATATATCGGATCTGACAGTGAAACGTAGAAAGCGTCTGTGAGAAGGATGGATGGAAATGTGGAAGTAAGCATCTTTCAAGTCCAGTGAGGCGAACCAATCCTCTCTCCTCAGCAACGGGCTCGGCTGCGGGCATCGGAGTCGGAGAGCATTCCCTCAGTGGGGAGTCTCTGATTTCTCCATCAGAAATGGACTCCCTAAGCGGCTCCTCCGGCTGTCGAGGAGGCACGCTCTCAGGCTGTATAGATTGCCTGGGGGATCCCGGCAGAGTCACCTGCATCGCGGATTGCAGGGTCGGTCCCAAGGGAGTCAGTACCGCAGCAGTGGTCGGTACCAAAAAGCCCGATGAACCCAAATCACGGTGTTTGGGGTGGTCGGGTTTTTTGCCCTTACGGGCGGGCTTGTCCACCTTTTCCTTCCTCGGCTTCTTGTGCGCAGAGGGCTTATCTGAGCCAGTATGCTTACGCTTCTCCCGTTTTTTGGCTAGGGGAGAAGGTAGCTGCTGGGCCTCCATAGAAGTGGCGCCTTTGTCCGAAGGACGCTGTGGAGGAATGGTAGAAGTCGGAGCAGGGCGCTTCGAGGGCACACCAGCAGTAGAGGCGGAGTGTTGAGAGGGCGCGGCCGAAGAGGACCCAGGCATTAAGACCAATTGGTCGGATTGCATCAAGGTCTGGTCCCATAGGAGCTTGCAGAGACGATTCTCCCTATTTTTCCTAGCCTGCTTGGTAAGCACCAAGCAGTGGCTGCATTTGTCAGTTCTATGCCCCTCACCAAGGCAGAGAAGGCATAGGTCGTGCGTGTCCGCGGGCAACATTTTGGAACCGCACTCAATGCATTTGCGGAATGCCACTCGCTGCACCATCACGAAATAGAAAAAAGACAGTGTAGAGGGTAAGATAATATTTTTGGTTTGGTTTTTTTTTTTTATAGGAATGAAAGGTTTGAAATAAAATGGGGAAGAGAAAAAACTTGGAGTATAAGGAGATAGATACGAGATATATGAAAAACTGTAGAACGAACAGTAAACAGGAGGATCTAAGCGAGAGACGAACAGGCACGAGGCACAACGAATGGCGGTCGCAAAGACTGAGTAAAATGGCGGACACTCCACCCTATTTATACCACGGAGAGGGAGGGGAGCGGAGTTTTCCCGCCAAAAACCATTAGCTTTCTAATCTTCCAGCCTAGGCACTGCGCAGGTGCAGCACCCATATGTGTGATGCACAGAGGCCATGACGACGACCTATTTTATCACAATCCCTTTCTTTTAACACATAATCTGTCATTTAAATATTGCCTTTCAGATGTGAGTACCTCTTATCCTTCCTACAGCATCCTTTATCTAGGTGTGTCCAAAACATTTGAATTTTCATTTGTACACCACTTGTAGGTCATAAATCCAAACCAACCTGAAATACTTGCCGGTCACTGACTCCAGTTCCTCTGCCACTGCACAGTTTATACTAGTTTGGGCTCCTTCCTTTGGTGTTTTCAGCATGAACCGACAGAGAGTTTGCCAACATTTCACGTGCCAGAACTGATGTCCAAATCCAGTATAAACTACCCCAGGATGTAAGGCATTTACAGTAACTCCAGTACCTAGAAAAAATAGGAATATGTACCAAAGTACAGACATTATTATTATTATAATTATAAATGAAAGCATGTTCAAAAAGTTCCTGCTTTTCTTGTGTAAACTATAGCATTTGGTTGTGTAAACTATAGCATTTAATATTTTTAAAACAAAGTATAAATATAAAAAAATGGATGCAATTTAATTCAAATGAAGCAAATACATTGCAATTAACAAATAAATTACATCCTTTAAAAATGTGAACATCACCATATTTTTCTCTGTTGTTCATTTCTGTGCTCTCCAATAGCTGAAGCTAGTGACACAAAAACTTGTAACTCCTGCTAAAAATTCAACATTCAGCTCTTGCTTCTTATCTAGCCACCCACATATCTCCATCTGGAAGACCATATGGATTTTTGTTTTTTTGCTGATGAACAGCAAAACCTTATAAACACTGGATGTGTTCACATGCCATGCTAAGCCATGCTGCATGGTAACCATTGTTGCTTTAGAGTAACACTACAGGAATATCCTGTGTGCTGCCACACTTGGTACCAATGTGCAAGAATACCCACCTTGCCCCCTCCCTTCCTCTCTTCACATGTGTCCACACTCCTCTATGCACAGGACCTGCACTTGCTGCCTCTCCTGCAGCCAGGCACATGCTGGGCATCTGCATGGGCACCCAAGCCAGAGACAGAAGTGCATCCTGGCAGACAGACTTTCACTAGGGTGCCTGTGTGGGCATCTGCTTAGGAAAGTTTTCTAGTGGGCTCCCAGGGCAGTGTTTGTCCTGTATGCTGTGGAGGATGGGGACACAGTGGGGTTTGCTGAGAATCCTTAGGATTGTCAGGGACAAGATGGGAGCAGAGGAAAGGGCAGGAGGCAGAGGGGCAGACATAGACTCCAAGGAACACTTGCCCTGTTGGCAATGTCCTATGTAGAGGGCAATTTTCTTGTGAGGAGACCAGGGCTTCTCTGTGTTGTGCAATGGTAGCACACTTACCAAGTGCCACTGCAGTGTTGTGTAGCAACCAGAGAGGAGTGCAGGCATGGCCATCCTCACAGTCGCTACCTCTGGAGGCGGTGTGGCATGATGTCTGACAGGCGGTAAGTTCCCATCGGCATGGCTGGCCATGGGAAAGCTGAACACTGTCAGGGAGTGTGGAGCAGCCAATCACCACATTGCTGCCAGCAACTCAGCAGTTGCTGGGTAGAGTTGAGCAGCAATCAGTACAGGCAGGAGCATCTGCTGCAGCCAGAGCTTTCTTGCTGCCAAACTCTATGGCAGAAACATGGAAATCATGCAGAAACATTGTAACTGGATTCATACTACAAAACAAGCTGTGATGATGTGCAGAAACCCAACAACAAGCTGTTGTTTCTCCATGTGGTTTCATGGAAACCAAAGGTACCATGTTTCACCCTGGATGTTGGGTTCAGACATAATGACAAGCCATGTCTTCATGATTCTGACTGCGGTTGTCATTATGTATGATCCATTAAATAGGTCTATGGGGAAAAAACAATACCTGTGAAACTGCTGGTGGCTACTCAAACTACAAAACCCTACAAGTAAGCCATTTGTTGTCCTCTCTAGCTCAAAATCAGCATAAGCCCTCTTCAAACTCACTTTTTCTAAATTGCTGTGTATCTGTTTGCTTAATATTCGCCAAAGAAGCTGCTGCCCTCCCTCATCCCATTTCTGCTTCTACTGGCAGAATGTGACACACCCTTAAAATATGTCCAGAACACATAAATCGCTCTTCATAGAACTTACCTTGCAGTCGGCTTGCCAACTCCCTGGTAAATAGTATATTAGCGCATTTGCTTTTACTATATGCCAGGAACCAATTATAGAACTTCTCTCCTTGCAGGTTCTGAAAGTCAATTATCCCACAACAATAGATGATTGAGGATACATTCAAAATTCGAGCTGGGGCTGATTGTTTCAAAAGGTCTAGGAGCAGGAAAGTTAAGAGATAATGCCCTAAAGAGGAGGAAACATGACTCCTTACTTGTGCTTTCACGTAACGTGTATCTTCTAAAACGCATACCAAAATTTGAGCTAAAGTAATATGCAACGTAGAATATATTTAAATAAATGAAACAAAAGTGTCAAAAGAAAAATTTACTATAGATTGCCTAAAAACTAGTTACCAAAGTATGGGTTGCTAAGTTCAAGTCAACATGTGAAATTCAGTCTCCCTTTCTCTGGCCTACTGTGACTTGGTCCATGATCCTTAGGTTTTGCTGGGTCACCTGTACGCAGATGAGGTCACAATACAGTAGACACTGCAACAAAGGTCTGATATACCATGCAAACCCAAAGGTGCAGCCACCTCGTCAGGCTCTTGGATCTATACCTACCACATCTATACCTTTGGCTACCTAACCTACAATCCAGCCTTCCCATGTTTGCATACTTCCTTCATACCAATAGTGTACGATCACTGTTATCCTTAAATCCTATGTAAGGTTATTTTTCTCAACCCTCTCCTTACTTTACCAAGGGGCACTACTTTAGACCTCAGAACTGTATCTGGCCTTCTTGGAATCCTACTCCAGCCTATTAGGGTTCCCAGAAGTCTACTCATCTTCTCCAGGCCATACTCTTTTCCCCAGCTACCAGTCATCTGGCCAGTTCCTAGAGTTTGTGCAGTTCATACCCCTTTTGAAGATATTGAAATGCCTTTTGAGTTATGCTAAAATGCTTCTTGAGACTTCTAACTTCTTCAGATCTTATAATTGACTCCAAAGATGCAATATTATATTCCAAGCATCCTCCTCATCATAGCAAAGTATCAAAATGCATAGTTGTATATCTTTACCCTGAACGTATCTCCCATCCTCAAATCTCTCTGTACCACAAATTGTTTCCCAGCCTCATATAATTTCTTGTACCTTCTGAACGATCTCTTTCCACCCCACAGGCCCATGGCTGCCCCAAGACTTTTTGCTGTATGAGGCCAGGGCAGCAAACTATGCTTCCATCCCCAACTCAAGTCAAGATGCATAGTTGTAGTTAAAACAAGTCAACTTCTAAGTCTGATGTAATCTTGAAGATGTTTCAAGATTATATCAAACTTTAAGATGTTGAAATCTCATCCAGAGACGTCATGGGAAGCATAGCAACAAATGGCAGGTTTGACCCCCATCCCACAGCATTCATTCATCTTAGTCCTCAAGGCAGTCAAGTTGTTTGGGCCCTCGAAGAAAATCTTTCAACCCCGACACCCCCACTCCCTTTCCTGGCACTGCAAATAGAATAATATTTAATGAATTAATAATTTGCTACTTTTTCATGCCTCAGGCAGCTGTTTCAGGATCTAAAATGCATGTGTGTGCCCTTAAAGGAGCTTGTCTGCTGTCAGGACAAAATGAGCAAAAGCTCTGCCATAATATGGCTGCCAAAAGTCTGACACTGTAAGAACAGTTTTAGACTTAAGCTAAGCTCCTCATCTGGCCAGGAAACCACGTTACAAATCCTGTTCCCCATGTACACTATGGACATGCTATGTAGGCCTGTTCTGAAACTTCCTTCTGTGTAGTTTGTCTTAACCCATTCAATTTTTTTGTTTTTACTCTCTTGTGGCTCTAGCAAACTGTGCACATAAACTGATAGGTTGTAAAATCATTCTGTGCAGAAGCCTTCTTTGTAGTCCCTTCCTGGGTGACCTACATGCAGCATGCATTTCCCCCCTGTATATATGAATAAACTGTAATGCTTTTTTGATTGTACATCCCAAGTGTACCTGTGCTCATTGTTCTGTGACACCTCCTTGGGTTTGAGTTCTAATGTCTCTTGGTTACTGAGTGCAGGGAGAACTGGGCTTGTGTTAAGGCAGTTGATGGCAACTGGAATAGCTCTAAAGACCCTAGCCAAGGTTCAAAAGATTTGGGGGACATGCTCAGGTAGACTATTTATAGCATAAGGATACTTATGGTTGGAGAAAAAGGTACTTAGGAAAAGGAGCAGAGGAGGTGATCTACTGAGGCAAAGCACTGCAGTGGTGCAATGCTCTTGTTCTGTGTCCATTTATCACTCTTATCATCTTACCAAGGTGATTGACTCCTATATGCATTTCAAAACCATCAGCAGTCTTGGTGTAGGACGACATCAGCACGCCTGCATTGTTAATGAGGATGTGGAGCTTGCTCTCCTCTGAAAGAAATAGTACAAGAGATGGAAGAAGAATGCAGAGAAACCCAGGAGAGAGAGAGAAAGAACAAGTACAAGGGTGATGATAAATTTCCTGCAAATACACTTATTTGCCATGTCTCATGCATGTTCAATGGGAGGTAAGCTGTAATTAAAATGTTGCCATACCTACACTTATGGTATATCACACAGAGTTATTAGTGTGAAGATAAGATTGAGAGGAGGAGGAGAAGTATGCAAGTTGCCTTGAGTTATTTAAAAGAAAAAAAGGCCAGGCATCATCACCAACAACTTTTATTTATTGTTACATCCCATCTGAGTGGGATGCTGTAATGTGGTGTCCTGCAACAGCAGGGGGTTGGACTTGATGGCCTTCATGGCCCCTTCCAACTCTACTATTCTATGATTCTATACTTTACTAGTACTTACTACGTTTTGGCTAGCCTAAAGGCATCTCAAATGGTTCAACAATACTTAAGTTTAGTCAGTTGGGATTTAGTCACATAGCCATCTTTAAAGTTGAGTTTGTGGGATAAGGCGAACACGTTTAAGATGAATATTATACCTTGGATTGTTCATGACATACATGGTATTTATACCTGGCATATATTTTTAAAACTCAGGGCTCTGTTTTGTACATTTTAGAGACAAAAGAGCTAGACATTGTAGAGCTAGCCATAGCATAATCTTAATGCTGATGCATTTGTAATCCTTGTAACTTCAAAGCATACGCTTGTATCAATGTCTGCTTTTGCTGAAAACAATGGAAGGTGTACAAAGTGGGCACTTAGGCCAAACCCTCTTTCTTTGGAATTGCAGGACCAGCGGGCTTTACTGTTTGTCTGGTCCAACTGATGACAGCCTCACTGATGGGCTGCTGTAACTGAGTGTTTTGTAAGTTACTCAGCAGATCAATAAAAATCTCCTTGTAAGTAAACCTGAATCTTGCATATTGTTTCTTTCGATCCTCAGAAGCTTGAACCCACTGCAGGGGGTTAACTGGTGTATGATATAGTAGCAATTACATTTTAATCCATTCTCTCATGCCAAATTAATTATGTGGGGAAATTCACATTCAAAAATGACTAAGAAAACTTTTTGTGGTGGATTTGGAGAGGTAAGTTGATTTTTTTCTTTCAGATCAGTTTGTGCATCCTGATGGGTTTTTGTTATTCTCAGCTTTGTGTGCCAAATGACTTGCCTGCTATGTCTGAATATAAGTAAACTGACATTGTGACTTATTTGAAACTAGGTTTGACCCTGCTACCCTTATAGCTTTGGATTTTACTTCAGTATTGGAAGCACGTATTGAGGCTAATTGATAAATTGAGGACTTAACATTTTCAACATTTGAATGGGTGGTAAATAGTCACTATTGGCAAATGGATACAGATATGCATATTTGGTCTTCCTTAGTTTATGTTCATGTATAATTTTTAGAAAGATATACACATGCACAGATGCACACAATAAATGCATATTAAATGTGTTATAGTGAAAAAATGTATAAAGAAACAATCTAGGCTTTAATGTTTAAGTATTGTTTAAGCTGGCAGACCCATTCGTGAATCATGTGAATTCATCCGTATCTATTTGAATTATTTAAATAACCTTAATATTCAATTTCATGGTTTATTCTGTATTACAATACAATTTATGTTATCCATTATGCCCATACTTCATTAATATGTACACATAAAATTTGGGTAAGCCACTACCATACTTGATTTGTGCACAAAGCCCATTTGTCAGTTGTGAAACATGGGATTTACAAGTATGTTTGCCTTCAATTGCAGTGAGAGCATTGAAACAAGAGCCCTTCTATTGAAGGTCCATTTACCAGAATCTTTGGTAGCTGTTCATCATTCCTTCTCCTAACTCTGCTTCATGGACCAGAAGATCACAGGGAAGCATCCAAGCAGAAAGTTACATCCCTTAAATGTCACAGAAGAAACTTTCATCCATCATACCTTTCAGGAAATCTTTAGCAAATCTCCGTATAGATTTGCAATCAGCCAGGTCCAATTCTTTCACAATAACTTGCTGATTCCCTGTTTCAGTTCTGATTTCATGGGCAGCAGCATTCCCTTTTGCCATGTTTCTGCAGGCAATGATGATACGAGCACCTTCAAAAGGAAATTGGGTGGGGAGGTAACAAAGCAGGCAAGCAGGATCCTAAAACATGTCCTACCTATTCCTAGCTCTAAGAGGATTTAAGTTGATGAAACAAAAAAATAAACCTAGAGCTTGCATAAATGTAAACTCCCTTAGTAGAATACATTATAGGCAGCAATTAATGTTGATATATGGATGATTTAGGGAAAGGATGCCCAGCTTTATCAAGGTCAACTCAAGCCCTTAACGTAAGTATGTTGGTCTAGATAAGCAATTTATACCATGTCAAGGAAAATATACTTAAGAAGTACTCCTAAGTAGAGACATTTTCTTTTGATTAAACTTATTTTTTGAGGGGATGGGGGAATGAACACACATCTATGATACTACTATATCTCACCTACTCCAGTTTTAATGGCCAATCCAGACACAATGCTGAACCATGGTTTAGACTGTAAACCTATGCTGATTTAGCTAAGAGTAAGTTCCACTGAACTCAGGAAGCCTTACTTCTGTGTAGAATAGAATTGTGCTGTTAGTATTACAAGAATGCACCATAGCAAGCCTTAGTCTTGAAATTTGAAGCTTTCCATTGCTGTTGGTGTTAGTTAATATTTCAATTTCCTGTTTTTTCCAGATATGGAAAATTGCATATACTCTAAGTCACTGCTGGTGAATAAATGAGGAAACTAGACCACACTGTGATCCATAGTTTTGGATTATGTCCAGACTGTTCTAAGACCATTTTTTTTGCCTGAGGAAGAGTAACATTGTGCAATCTCACCCACCCTGATGTAAAAATATATAGTAGCTAAGGCTAGCTAAATTATTCTGGAATCTGAGGCAGAAAGTCCTACAATCTACCCCTCATTCCCTGGCAACAAAATCATTGTTGTTGTTATGAAAATATCTAATGTGGTCAATGCAACTAAATAAATGCAAGGTAATCAGAGCAAATAATGGGATTAAGGATATCATCATGGAAAAGAGTAATTTCAAATTATAGCTACTTACACAGACATAATTGCTTACACTCTCTGCTTACTCAGTTAAAAATGTTTCATCAAGCATGATCAAGCGTCAGGACATTATGGCAGCAGAATGGAACACAGCTTGTGCTCATAGCGAATTACATGGAAAGTCACATTAACTCACTCAGAAAAATATAGCTAAGGAGAGGAACACAATACATGCTTACAAAATTGTGCATGGTATAGCATCTACACCATGGAGGAAGTGAATAGTGGGAAGTGAGAATAACAATAATGCACTATGAACCAAAAGGCAAGTTTAGTTAAAGCAAAGATAGCAGAGGGATAACAACCCTAACCATGATAATACTCTATACATTAGAATGAAATTACTGTTTATCAGAGAACCCCAGTCATGTCCTCTTGCAGCCAATCCCCTTTCAGAGAACTCATGTAAATTCACTAGATTCTCTTTTTAAAAATCCTTGGGTCAAGAAACCATTTAGACACTGAAAAATTCATTTGTGCAACAAACACAAAGACATCCATAAGTCACAATTTTTTCCATGCTAAGTATAGAAGATGGATGCATAACACAGACAACTTGCCTCTTTGTGCAAGACCCTTGGCAGTCTCCTTCCCTATGCCAGTGTTGCCTCCTGTGATCACTGCCACTTTTCCATTCAGCTTGGCTGTGGATGTGCATACTCCCCCTGCAAACCATTTCCTAAAATATAAAGCAACAGCACCGCGTTGTATTAGCTATGTACAGATTATTGGTTATCAATCTAAGGCTTGTCATGTTGATTCTCTGACTCTTTTACCCTCTCTGGCCCAATTTAGACACTTCTCAACCCTCACCCAGTGCATACATGATCATTGCAAGTATTAATCAGGGCAGTTATTGAATCAGACCTCAGTTGCTGACTGGGGGGGTTTTATATATACACATGTCTTCCAAGTTCCCATTTCCTCTGCTCATCACAGTGGTAAGGGGGAATGTCCATCTCTTGCGAACTTGGTCCATAATATGTAGAAATCTAAGATAGCTTTTGATGTTATTTTTATCAAAGCCAGGAGCTGTGCCCAAAAACACTTCCCATTAAGTCTGATTTCATTTTCAGACAGAAGGGGCAGGAGTGTGCGGGGGAGAGAATGAACAATTTCATTCCATTATTTTATTTTATGTATTTTATTTATTCGATGAATTTTTTTTCTTTTTGTATTTATATGAGGGATTTTATGATTGTAAGCTGCCCTGAGGCTTATGCGATGGAGGCGGCATAGAAGCTGTCTAAATAAATAAATAAAAAGAAAACTGATCTTTTGGAAAGAACAAGAGAATGCTTTTGAAATACAATGCACTGTGTTATTCTGCTCTGAAAGTTAAACATTGTTTTGAGTACTGCAAGAAGGTATGATAGCAGATGCTATTTGCACTGCCCCATCTTCCAACTATATATAACGAAAAGTTAGATAAGTACTTATTTTGTATTCCCAGTACTGTATACATTTTGATACTTGCTATACATATTAGTATTATTTTAAATATCTGTATCCTATATTACTGTGTCATTTCTGGGAGTTAAGGCAGCTTAGAATCTATCAATGAAACACAATGTGAAGACAAATCTAAAGACAGCACAGACAGCCAACTAAAGAGAACAAATTCAAAGCACCAAATAATTTAGTTTTGCTGTGCCTTACTTTGTTTTATTGGAAGACCGTCCTGAGATGGTCCATAAAATTTTGCAGATTTGTGGTTTCCTGGTAGGTAGACAGATAGGCACAGATACAAAGGGGAGAAATGTGAAGGGCACATAATGCAATCAGTAGTTGTAGACAGATTTATCTAATTGACATGAATATTACCATATTGTTAACTTGGATTTATACATTTTTATCTACACATTTCAATGTGATTGCTACAATTACTCTATGCGCATACTTCAGTATGGATACCAAAGTACAGTTCACTGACAAAAAAAAGCCTTGCATTACTGACAAAGAGTAAATAAGTTCTATAGGATAGTTAGTCAAAAATAGTAGTCATAGTAATGATATAACAAACCTGAGAGAAGTACACATATCTTTGACTCTCTGAATTGAGAGCAGGAATGAGAAAGTGACCAAGTGAGTATGCCTTAGAAGTAACTATTTATATATAGGAGAAGGCATGCCAAGTTGTGAGCTAGCAGGAATGCGAGGAATGTCCTGTAGGACTTATTCATTCATGATCAGAGCTCACTGTCACCATCACCCTCACGTTTCATTTATTCCTACAAGAGATTCCAAGATTAAACTTTCAGAGAAGGGAGACATGGTTATAAGAGGAGACTTTCTATTTGTTGGAATCAAACTAAAAGGAAAAGGCTGAATGAATTTCTGACTTGCCTTGCTGACAATGGGCAAGCTTGCATGACATGCCAAGCTGCAGCAGTTTTTTGCACAGATCTGTTCTGTCCTCGGAACCCCAAAATGGTATTTAGAAACAGAAACAGAGCAAGTTAGAAGGGGCCTCCTGGACCATCTAGTTTGACCCCTGGCTCCAGCCAGCTCCACTCATGACATGCCTACTATGTGCAGCAGCTGAAAGTTGTGCCTGCACAGGAGGAGCACACAGGCTGCATGCAGGCATTGCCAGCAGGGGCTTGCCTTGAAAAGCCCTTGTCCCCCATCCTCTGCTTTGCCCTGACATTCCACGGGACTGTCAACAAACCATGTTGTCCCCTACCCCCACCACTCCTATGACACTTTGGTGGGCAGGTGGCCTTTTGTGGGCACCCTTGAGACACTTCCCAGCAGTACTGAGTACCTGTGCAAGAGTTAACCCTCCCCTGACTCCTTTAATTAAAATGGGTCAGAGTCCAGAACTGAGCCAAGGCAATCCAGTGGATTTTTACCCTCAAAATGGATTCCTCACACATCCCTAGCATTGACAATAGTAAAATGCTTGGAGGTCAGAGCCAGGGCTCTCAATTTGGAGCAACCCCCCTAACTTTTGCAACCCCCCTAACTTTTGCAACTGTATCAGTTGGAGATTTGGTGGGGAGGGGAGGAACAGGTCTCCACATGGGAAACAAGGAATTTTGGTGATGCCTCTCCTCCTCATGAGCAGGGGTAAACACTTAGATGGTGAAAACCTGACCTCTATGTGGCTTGGCTGTTTGCTTATTTTGGAGGGCAAGAGAAGCACAGAGGCAATCCTCATCTCTGTGCTCCTCCTACTTTCTTCTGACTGCCCAAACTTTCTGAGTTTGGAGAATTACAGACAGGCACATCAAATGGCTTGTACCTGCATATTGCTATTAGCACACTCAAATTGCACAATTTCATCATCAAGAGCATGTTTATCAGTGCAAGTTTTTCAATACTCCCTACATTATGGAAGGTCACATAGTACCATGTAGAGAACATCCTGATCCTTCTCCAGTTCATTAATGAACAGCCTCATGTTCTTCTTCCAAATTTTTCACTGCCAGTATACAATGACTCTGTCATAGCAAGGTAGGGAACAGGTTTTAGAGCTAAACTGCTACCTATTAGGCCAGGTGACATCAATGAGCATATCCATACACAATGATTCTATCACCCCATGCATTTTGCCTGTCAAGTCTAAAATGGGGGCAGCAGGTTTCTGTGGTTGGAGCACCAGGACCAGGGGTGTATGGAGATCTTGGCCATGATCAGTAGGGCCAGAGACAAGGGTGAAGTCAGGAAAAGTAAGGTTGCTTATCTGTAACCGAAGTTCTTTGAGTGGTCATTTGTGCATTCACACATATGGGTATGGCACCTGTGAAATGCCTCCATTTGTGAACATTCTCCTATAATATTCTGCGGGAGCCCTGCCTCCTTTCCCCTAGTATAAATAGGAAGGGTTCCCACTATTTTCCCTGTTCTATGGAGTCTGATGTTTTGGTCTCAGAACTGGGAATCAGGCCAAAACATGGCCCAAGTCTAAGATATTTTTTTAAAAACAATTATGGCATACTCAGAGAAATGGAAACTATCTGCAATTGTAGGTGGGTCACTGACACCAACAGGGGGTATTTTGGATGGAACAGAGGAGGTCTTCCCTAGACGGAGCAACTAATAACCAATTTTCCAAGTAGGGGATAAACTGGATGCCTTGCAGTCTTAAATGGGCACAAAGCACCACCATACATTTCGTAAATACCCTTGGGGCTGTAAAGAGTAGTGCCAACTTGGAACCTTAGGAAGTGACAATAGTCCAGGTGGATGGAAATCTGAAAGTATGCATCTTCCATGTTTATTGTTGTGAACATAGTACTGGGAGAATGTTTTGCAGTGACAATTAAGAATTTTTGATCAGGATAAAGCAGTTGATGCTTTGCAAGTTTAATATTGGGCAGAGACCACTATCTTTCTTTGGGACAGTGAAATATCTAGAATAAAAACCATATTGGTTCTGTTGAAGGTGATATCACAGGTGAAGTTATGTTTATGGCTGGTACTAACATTAGCACAATAGATTATATTCTGGTCTGCAGAGCCTTATTTCCCATGACTGGGAATTTGCGAGTGCTTCCATATATGGAGAACAATCACTTTCCCCTATTACTATACTTGCAGCTGGATTCCGGAAATCTTCATCTGGAATCTAGATACCTCACAACAATTAAACCTTTAGAAAGATGCAACTGCCAAGTAAGATGGTCACCTAATTTGGCACAGAACTTAAAATATATCGTAACCCAAGAAAATTTGCTACCTGTCAGGGAACCTCAGAACTGTTCTAGATCCCCTATTTATGAGACCTTTATACAAAAGTTAAACCCCTATCTAGTTCACTTACATAATGCTGAGTTTGAGAAATCCTTCAACCACTCCAAACCATGGTTTAATAATAGCTGTGTGGTTGCAAAAAAGCATTAAATTGGAAATACCAGCAGTATCTGAATGCACAAGTTCAGGCCAAAAGTGAAGTCCTGACAGAATTATTGATAAAAAAAAGTATACACTACAGATTCAGGGTAGTAAAAAAAAGTTTATACTAAAGACTTATGCGGGAAACTGATTGAAGCTGCAATGGCAAAAAAAAAAAAAAAAATCAGCTCTGTTCTGGAAACTAATTGAAGGCAGAATCTCAAGATCTAAATCCTTGATATCTTACTGCCTCCTGCCAGGCAAGTGGGTCTACTTCTTTACCAATCAGTATGAAGATTCAACTAAACATCATCCTGTAATAGTTACTGTTGATAAAGTTAGGGGATGTACCCTGCCAGGATCATTATTCACAAAGACATGCTAGAGACATACCAGTAACAGAGGAGTACTGCGCAGGAAAGGAGCTGACAATTCCAACAAGAGGAGAGGTGATAGGGATTGGAATAGCCTCCTTTGCAGTGTCTACCCACGGATATTTAGCACATCTTCAGGAGCAAATGGCCTGTGCAATAGTGGCTCTTAGAAATGCTACTATGCGTGCACTAAGGAAGCTGGCTCTGAATCATGTTTTAGTACCAAAGGAGGGGCCTGTGGGGTGATTGGACACATCTGCAAGATGGATTTAGATAAACAGATGTCAATGAAGACTTAAGAACAATCCAACAGGTAATACCAGGGATCTTGGTACACAGCTCTCCACTCTGGATTAGCCGTCCACACTTGTTCTATCCCGGCTTCCACTGTAACCCAGCTGTAAAATTTCCACTGAGGCACAGGGATCACTATGTGTTTTGGTATGCAAATGAGGGTGATTGCAATGCTGTCTATCTGGCAGCATTATCTGCCCTACCTGATCAGCAAAACAATGGCCCCAGCAGCCCCTACACAAGCCACCAATTCCCATCCTCTTGAACCAACAGCCAATACCAAAAGAGATCTGACCTTAGCACAGAGGTGCATATAAGCAACCCCCCTCTGCCAGGATTTTCATATTTCTCCAACAGTTCCCCCCTTTTGTGAACAATCAAACAAATCAGCCAGTTCAGATAACTCCTGGTGCTTCCTCTTTCTCGGGAAGCAGCTTCCATCCAAGCAGCTCAGATGGGGATTGTCTTAGTCAAATCCCTTGATCTCTTTGCCCCCTCCTTTGGCTGCAAGGAACTCAGTGCCAGCCAGCTCTCACCTTTAACCTGCTCCCCTGCACTTTTGCAGCACTCTTACCCAATCTATTTTGAGGCCTGGTTCCTTTGCTCCCTACGCCCCTCCTTTTGACCCATTGACCTAAAGATATCATCCTCATTGGGGCTGAGACACCCCACGATGATGAATACCCTGTCTAAGGCCACCACCCCTTTTTGGTCAACAGACTTGGGTTAGCTTGCTTTGCAAGGTGGGAGCAGTGTGAAATGAGGAAATGGCCTAATGTCCAGTTCAGTTATCTGCTTTGCCCTTTGAGGCGATTCTTCAAGATTTTGTTGTCTAGGCTTCACTCAGTTTCTGGACTCAGCTGTACACTTGGCTGTAGGACTTGCCTCTCACAGTTTGCCTGGTTAGTCATTTGCTTCCTTGTGGATGATACAAAGAGCAAGGCAGAACACAAGAATCCCAGTCTTTGCAGTTCCAGTTCATCTGGCGTCCGGAAAGTACAGCTCACAAAACAGGTGGATTAGAAAAAAACCTTTACATTACAATTTTTTTTAATCACAAAAATTTGAAACAAAGTAACAAAGAACAAAGTACTGTAGAGAACACTAACCTGGGGGTGGGGGGAGGTTATTGTTTGGAAGGAGAGTCCAAACCATAATCGTGCAATTGCAATTGTACTTGTGGGAGATGGGGGAGATGGCTGCAGTTGTGGGGAGATGGCAGCACTCACGCTCATGCAGGGAAGATGGGCGCGATTGAGATTGTGTTTGTGGGTTGTCACCCAATGCAGAGTTTGCGAACTGAGGCATTTTTTTAAAAAAATTGTTTGCAACCCGATTTGGTCATGAACTGAGGCATTCATGAGCCGAGGTACCACTGTATACCTTCTCTGTGGTGGCGCCCCAGTTATGGAACATGCACCCAAGAAAGGTGCACCTGGCACCAATACTTTATTTATTTCAGCCCCAGGCCTAAACCTTTCAATTTTCCCAATATTTTAAGATTTAATCCTGTTTTAAAATGGGTTTTATTTGTTGCTATTTGATGCTGATCCTGTGTCTTTTTATTGTATTATCGTCCTGTTACCTGAAACATACTCTCTCACAACACTTAGGCTAACCACTTAGCCAGAAATCTGTAGCCATGTTGTACTTCCTGTCCAGGAGGGACTGGGGAGGTGAGAACCCTGTGTGAACTCCTGGGACAGGATGACTGAATGTCAAAGAGGGTAAATGAGAAGTATCTCTGGAGCCTGGACCAGTTGGAATCCGGGTGAAGCCTCAATAAAAGTAGCAAATTGCATTATAAATTACTAGTAGGTGAGAAACATAGAGCGGATGTGAATAATTCAGAGATAATCAACAGACACATGAGAAGGGAGTCTCTGGATAAATAAAGAGTTTTCTGTAAACTAACAAATAGAACAAAGAATAATGGGGAAATGAATTTACTTTGTATCCGGACAACATGTTATGATGTAGGGTATATAATGTATGTTCTCTGTACCTCTTTCGAGACTCTGATTTAGGAAGCATCTCCCCATTGTCTCCGTTTATTCTATAGTGCACCAGAATAAAACTGCTATTAGCTCATCTCAGTCTCGATTCAGGCTCTGTTTGGCTTTGGGTCTGGGGTCCACCCGGGGTTTGCCCCAGCTGTTAACTGGTTTCAGTCCGGTAACAGTCCTAAGACACTGGTTGTCGTGCCTTGAACAAGTTGCCCCCCCCCCCGACTCTGAGCGGAGTTCAAGCACCTGAGTCAGGATGAGGAGAAGCCTCATCGTTATGCTGTGGGGTGGCTATTTGCTCAGTGGACTCAGAGTCATGCCGCAGATGGGCCGTTTGGTTACTGGGTCCCAAGTATAAGTCCCCTTGTTCCAATGTCTGATTCTCATTGTGAACATTTGGCTCTTTCTCGCGAGTCGACTGGTGAAGGACGGATAGAAAAGGTTTTAAAACATGGATAAATAAATACCAGCAAACCCCAGCCATCCCGTGCATGGGACCGGCCCTCGAAAGGCCTTTTCCTGTCTCTGTGGAACTCGCCGGGAACCAAGGAGGCGCTGTAGGACGGCCAGCGGAGAGCGGCGCAGGGCCCGTTTCGCGCCGCCATAATCGCGTCCCGGAAGTGCCCGTGAGGAGACTGCGGGAGTTCCCAGGTCGAAGTGACCGGGACCGCACCAGATTTCGGAAGCCGTCCGCAGCAACTGAGTGCCATGGAGAATCGCGGCAGCGGCTCTTCGGAGCACTTGGAGCGACTGCACGAAATCTTCCGCAGCCTGCACGGGGAGCTGCGCGGCGCTCCGGAGCGTGTGCGCGGCAGCTCGTCGGTTGGTACGTGAACGGGCCGGGGGCGAGCCGTTGGGCGCGAGGCTCGGCCGCCCGCGCCAGGGCTGCGCCAAGCAGGAGCCGCAGCTGCCCTTCCCGGGGAGAGGGGCAGGAGCCTCTCGCCGGCGCGGACCTTCGGCCCGGCGCCTGTGGTGAAAATGAACCTTCCGCCTCCCTTCCCATCCCTTCCGGCTCCCGGCCGCGGTCTGTGCAGGGCGTATCTCTCTGAGTTTGCGTCGGCCTCCCTTTCTTTTTCCGTCTTGTTGGCCCCGCGGACCAGCCCGACCCGGCCTCCCGCATCCAGCCGATGTTATATTTATCACTAGCAAGGAGAGTGATGGGGGAAGCTTGCTTGCAAATTTCTGCGTGCCCGGGTGCTGTTGAAGGCCCAGGCGTAGGGTCAATAATAAAAAGCGAGTGGCAACCCCTAAGCCCCGAAGGGATTTTAAAAGGGGTTGCAAATAAGGAAGGATGTGTGTGAGAGACTCAGATTTCACGGTAGAGTTGAATCCTGACTACCCGGAAATCATGCTTTCTCCCTCAGAGGCTGCCTGTTAAAGTCCGGTTTATTTGGAAGCAAGTGTCGTTGAATTCGGTTCATGGAAACTTACCTCCTTTGTCAGTGGACATTGGATTGCAGCATTCAACTTGTGGGAGAAACATTTATTTATGTATTGCATTTATATGCTGTTCCATAGCCCAAGGGCTTTCTGGGTGGCTTACATTCAAATAGTAAACAACAGTAAGAACAATAGATCACTTAGAAGTATTAAAAACATAAAATCAATTAAAAGAATACAAAATCTAACAATTGGCTAAAACAATAAGGCAACACAGCAATAGACTTAGGACAATATTTTTAAAAATGATTAGCTACAAAAGCACTTGTTAAAGCATCTTTACCCGGCATTGAGAGAACAGTGAAGGTGCCAGGCACATCTCTTTAGGGTGGGTGTTCCATGGGTGGAGAGCGATCACAGAGAAGGCCCTTCTCCCAGCCATTTCTCTCCTCACTTTGTTTGGGAATGGCTCTCTGAGAAGGACCTCCACCAAAGATCTTCAGGGTTGGGAACCTGGCTCCAAGCAGTTTAGTGCTTTGCATGTTAAGGTCAGCACTTTGGGCCTAGACTACAACAGGCAGCCAGTGCAGCTGATGAAGGATTTGTTTGATATGCTGTCTAGGAAGATGATTATGAATGCTTAGCACTGAGAGGAGGGCAATGTGCAGTTACCTGAAAGTGCTGTCTTGCATATTTTAAATCTATAAACTGAAATTCTGATAAGGGCTTCAGGACGCAGGGCTGGTAAGCCCAGGGTTCCTGTCTCTCCTCCCACCTCATGAAATGCTTTTTTGCTTGGTTTATGTATAGCTTTCAAGTCAATTGGGGCACTCTTTTGGCTGTGATCTTGCAAGCATAACTATTTGCTCTCCTTTTTAAAAGTTCTCTGTTTTTGATGTCACTTGCACAATATGACAACACTGTATTCTGTGCTAATATAACATAGTTGTCAGATTCTTACTACTGCTACTTACTAATTCTTACAACTTTTATAAACCTATAAAAGAAGGTTTATAGATCTTCTTTTATCATTTTTAACTGCCCTGATGGTGAATAAATGACAGGACAGTTTAAGGCTGTCTAGTGATAGTGTTGACCAAAAGAGGTCCATGCCCTGGTGTGCATATGCCCAAAATATACAACAGGGGAAGGTTTTCTTTTAAAAGATTTATTCTCTAGAATAACCAACTGCCAATGAATCGTTTCAGATGGTGCACCTGAGCAGTCCTCATTTGGTCCTTTTATACATTGATCATTAAAGTGTTACACATAACATAGTTAACACTTTCTAACAGATTTCAGAAGTAAAAAGTTACAATGGCATAATCTTTTCCCATTTGCATACCAAAATAGAAGGAAGATGCTGCAAAGGAGTGGAGGAGGATGGGGTGCTATTATATAGAAGAGGAGGAGGATGGGGTGGGTTGGTGTGACTTGCCCTTTGAGCTGCTGTAATCAGTCAAGTGTAAATGGCACCTGGTTAGTGCCAGCTACATTTCAAGGATGCACATGTTCTGACTTCTAGAAAAGAGGGGTTTTCTCTGCTCCAGCTACATGTGAATAATGTTTGTATGATTTTACCTATGAAAGTTATACCTGTTGATTCGTACATCGATAGTAAGTCAGCATTATTGAACCTGTGTTACACTCCAGCTTTACCAAGCCTAGTGCCCTCCTGATGTGTTGGACTACAACTTGTATCACCCCCAGCAAGCAGGGAATCTGAAGCAATAAGAAGCATATAATCTATTATTTTGTATCTTGCCCTTTGAAGGAACCAAACTGATATTTAGGCTTACAGCAATCCTGTGTTTAGTTGGGCATGGGTAGATCACACACTCTCAGCCTGTCAAAATGATCTTCATTCGTAAGAGGGGAAACTTGATTTTCCTGCATTCAAGATGAGCACTAGCTATTGCACCCCTCCAACTTAGTTTTGTTTTTTGTGAGTCATTTCAGGGTGTGGCTTTTGGGAAGTAGTAGGTGAAGGGCTCTGTCCCTAAGTCATTTTGGTGCATTTGGCTCCACCCTCATTTTACACTTGTCTTCCATTGGTGGATCTTGGGGTTTTGCATACTCCTGTTCTAGGGGCACATTTCTTATACTTCCTCAGCCATAGAGCTGTGGTTAAAAAAAGACATACTAATCTTCCTCTTCTGTACATATGAGGCAGCATGTGACATGGTTGTTTACTTGTCCATCTGTGTGCTTGTTCCTTCCTCCTATAAAAAGGCAGTGGTAAAGTTGTACCAGATCTTTCTCTGTACAGCTGTATGTACATACCACCCATGTCACATATTACCTGTATGCCTGAATTTCACACATCCACCAAACTGCTCATATCTCTGCCTGAATTTTTGAATGATAATTTCTTATGAACATGTCTAGGTTAACATAATCTTTATGCAATCCTTTCTCAACTGTTTGAGGGTCATTTCATATGATCAGCTATTATGGTCTGATTATCAAAATAGTTTTCACAAAAACAAATAATAGAACAGAATAATGTATTAAATTATCTCGTGAATTCTCCCTGAGAATTCCTTTTGATGCTTCTGATGTTAGGTTATTTTTGCCTTTTACATGTTATTTATTATGTCTTCCAGAGGAGAAGAAGAAGTTGATACGAGAGTTTGATGAAAAACAAAAAGAAGCAAATGAAACGGTAAATATATCATTTATAATTAGAGGGTTTTCTAATCAATGCTAAGTAATGGACTTAGATGTCATCAGTTTGTTTGAAATGTAATACTCAGGGTCTTACTTCATTGCTTAATGCTGATTTTAAAACCCATTATGAAAGTATTTTCTATTCTGCTTTTTTCTTTGCTGAATTTAGCAATTTGGCATGCCAAAGCAAGTGCTTGAACAGGCATTTGTAATGGTTATTTCTGCCCTGCATCTAACTGAATGTCTACTTATGTTCATATCATGTTCTTGTACTAGCCCAATACCATATGGATTCCAAGCTAAATCACAAAGAACTTTTGAAGTTCCTCTTGCTTTGAAAGAAGATTGCCATGCACTAGAATGAGATGTTATTTAAGTCAGTGACTGAAATCTCACAAAATCAAGACATTCATTCCAATGTTATTTTGATCCTTGAAAGTATAGTTGTTGCTGAGATGTGTGGAACATACCTCTTCAGTGTTGGTACTCATATATTTGAATGTTCCCCATACAAAATGTCTCTCCCTACATACATCCATATAGAAAACTAGGAACAAAGGTTCTAGCCTAGTCTTCTCCCTGACATGCTAGTTTTCTATGCACACAGATTTATTACTTTGGTTAAATATGGTGCATTCAATCAAGCCCAATTTTACAATCTGAAGTGTATCCTTCTGGTTTGCCATCTCAGCAAGACCTAGGACCAAATTAACTGTGAATTTAATCAGAGTTTAAACTCTGAACAGCAAAATAAATGGGGATTTTTAAAAAGGAGAGTAAAGAAATCATAGAGTTTTAGCAAACTATGCCCCTGTGTCCTGCCAGCAGAATAGCAGCCAGTAAGATTGGTTGGATGATATGTATCCATAAGAAGTCTGTTTTTACAGCCATGGTATAACACCGGCTCCCAGCGAATTGATGATAGACTTAATATACATAATTCATATACATTAACAAGAATGTTAATCTGTGTTTATCTTTTATCCATTGCAGCTACAGGAAATGGAAGAGGAACTGAAATATGCCCCAGTGTCCTTTCACAATCAAATGATGATCAAAATTCGGGCATACAGAAGAGACCTTGCCTCATTCCAGAGAAGACTGAAAAGTACTGATTTAGGAGTGGTCCCAGGTGGACATGCAGATCCCAAATTTGGAATCTTTTCCACAGAAAATGAGCAGAGTGTGAGTACTAGGTATACTTTAACTACATGTAGTGTTATTTTAGATCACTGGCAAAGCTCTTCATGTTCTTGCTAGCTTTAGACCTTTAAATAAGGACATGAACTTTTATGTAAGTACTGGGATACTATTAATGGCAACATTGCAAGTATATGGTAAAATACAAAAGTTCATAAAAATCTTGGTGTGTTAGTCCTATAGGAATGCAAATTAAGTCTAACATCTTTTAATTTAAAATTCTGTATAAGTCTTGAAAGTACAAGTTTTTGTAAGTATGAGAAAATAAGCCAATGCTGTTGTTCGAAGGAAAGGATATCTTGCATAAAGTGTCCTGAGTTCTTTTATTTTTGTCACCCCTGTTGATTTAACAGGCTTAGCAATTTTCCCTTTATGTTATTCTGTTTGCACATAAAAATCTGTCAAAACATAAACAAGATGCACATTTGAATGCTTGCTGAAGCACTCATGTATTGAAACAATGCAGTGTTGACCCACATCAGCTGGGCACCCATTTTGGAGGGCTAAATGCACATCTGACTTATGGTTACTGATACAGTAAGCCCTTTTAATTTCAGTTTTTAACACACTCTAAAATTTGCCTTACTGTATGTTCTTTTGGCATAAGTTGCCAGATACATTTATATTTCATCACACAAGCTCATATGGTTTTAATTAAATATGGGGTATTCTGATCATTTTAAAAATTTTAGTACATTGGCTATCAACCTGGCCATACATGAGCAAGTCAATTAGCTGCATCATGGAGCCTAGCATTTCCTGTATACCTTTTAAGTTTACTTACCCAGGCTTATATAGGAGCCCTGTGATTGTACCTTCACTGGAGTTTTACCATGTGTTATTTTAAACTTCAGAGATGCTGATGTCAGATTTAATTAAATGTGCATTTAAATGTGAAGAAAGATTGGCCTTTTAAAATCCATGTCAGACAATGGAGATGCTTCATCTAGCATATCTCTGAGAAAGAACATTGAGGATCAATGTTCCTTATATTCTGCTTTAGGAAAATGTTCTCAGATATCTTTTTCTCCTTTAAGGTCATGATATATCTCTTAATGATGAATTCATCATGAAAAGGTAGTGCTTACATGGTCCTATAGTTATACAATCTTATCTGTGTACCACTGCAGATTACAAAAGATCAATCACCTGGGAGAGGCCAGGGAACTTGATTACTGAGGGGAGACCCAGTCTGCATGCTGGGTCTCTACTTTTACATGCATAGGTTTCCATGGTTACTAGGTATGATTACAAGCAGGAAGGATAAATAGACTTTATGTAGTGTAGATGAGTTGTAGACCTTCCTTTTCAGGTCAGTGGACTGAAGGGAGAGATGGAAGTGTAGCATTTTCCTTTAACTTCTTTGTTCCACATTCTATCTTGTATTTAGTAGGGGGAGGAAGGCTGCTGCAGTGTGGTAATTTATGCAGTTCAGCAAGAGGTCTCTGATGAAACACCTAGGGCCTCTTGGGAGGAAGGCCAGTTCTCTGTAACCCTTGGCACCAAGAGCAGTGTTCCTCATCAGGACATCTGTCTGTTCCTATGCCATCGTCCTTCAGTGGTGGGCCACTCCCTAAGAAGAGGGATGATACTGAGCCTGCCCTTTGAAGCTGCAGCTGGAACTGTAGCAACCTGGACAGTACATGAAGACATGAAAAGAGTTCTGCTGATTTATCTAGCACAGCATTCTGCTCCCACAGTAGCCAACTCTGTGTCTGTGGGAAGCCCACAAACAAGAATTGAACACCAATAGCACCTTCCACACATGTTCTCCAGCAGCTGGTATTGCAAATCGTACTGATAGTCATATGTGGAAGCTCTCTTGGCTGTTTCCTAGAAACTACAAAACTCCAAAACCAGTTAAGGAGACGCGAACTATTTGATTGGGAGGTTTGATTATAAGTCTGTTATGAGACATTATTTCATGTTATTTGGAGCACAGTTCTAATCGCTTACATGGATTTTGCTCATGTCAGCAATTTGCATCATCCCAGGAAGCCCTAATTTTATTTTATTTTATTTACATTTCTAAAAATTCTGATAAAATAATCCAGGGATTAGGATTGACAGTTATAGTGTATGGTCTCTGAAGTAATGTTACAAAGTGTCTTTGGCCTAGTCTGTTCAGTTTTCACTGTCTGTATAGTTAGATTGTCCATTGCCCCATGGACTCTGGTCCATCCCAGTTATTTCCTGCATAGTTGCTCTGGATTAGTGACCTGGTAGTGGTGAACCCTGCCTAGTGTTTTCGAGGAATCAAACCCCAAGGGCTGTGCAAGCAGCATTCCTTTTCCATGCCCATCACTGCCACTGGCGGTGGTGGGCAGGGAAGATGATTTATTGTAAGGAATGGTGCTTTCCGTGTTCACTTGCAGCAGCTCTCTTCTACGTCCATTGCTGGCAGCAGTGGGTGGGGAAGAAGAATGGCTGCTGGGAATGGCACCTGGTGTGGCTTATTTATTTATTTTGAACCTACAGACCACTGAATAGTTTTGTGATTCCCATTTTGACTGCTGCAGATCATCTTTTTAAAACGCTGTTGCTCCTGAGCTTTTAAAAAACCTCACTTTTTTACCCTTTCTGAATCCTGCTTGAACGGTGGAGCTCTACTGTTGACAGCTTCAATTTCAGTTGGAATTTGGGGTAGCTTACACTATTGTATGTTCTTGAGGTGTTAGAACCTTGGGGATAAGTGGAAAAGTGAGGATACCCTTGGTACGCATGAAGCCCCCACAAAATACCTGAGGATCTTGCCATGGAGGAGGTGAATGGCACAGCACTAACTTTTTGAGAGCTAAGATCACTGGCACCAATGCAGCTTGCATTTTGGCAGCTGTCATCTAACCAAAGGGAAGGATAAAATTACCTACAGCCTTTAGGTAACTTTATGGGTAGTGTCATAGTGGGAACTTACAAGATGTTGCCAGCAGCCAGCTTGCATCCCATTCTGGTACCTGAATGTCCACAGTTGTGCAAGTGTGAGCAATTTTTCAAAAATACACAAATGTTTGCAAAATGAATAGAAGAATTTTAAAATGAAAAAAATGGTTTTTTGTTGTTTTTTTTTTTACAAAATTCTTGACAAGATGCCTCTGTGGGGCTTTGAAGGTACTGCCAGTAGCTGTCAAAATGGTAATTGTGAAAACTGACTTTACAGCCAGCTTCTATGATCTGAAGAAGAAAAAAGTTTAAATAGGAAAAAAAACTCATAGGGAGTCTGAAACTTCTCCTTGCAGTGATTGTGAGTCAACTTGATCTTCCTACATTGTCCTTTGGGATATTCATGGGAGGATTGAAGGGGGTTGGGGGTAGCAAACGATGTACCATGAGCTCGATTATGTGTCACGTACACTGTTGGTTCACCCAATAACCAGCTCATCATGGGTTTGCATGATGCCCATTGAGACATTTTTTCTTAGGTATGATACACAAAGATCTTTGGCTTGTATTAAATGCTTACACAAGTGCAAAATCAGAAGTCTTTCTTTTATTCTGTACAATGTCAAACATTCCTATGAAGTAGAGATTTCCATCGGTTTTTGTAGTTACTCTGCACCTCTTTTATCTGAGAGAGAATACTAGAAGGTAAAAAACATTTTTTCTGCCTTTTTAAATAGGTCTTACTTGTCTCTCTTAGACTCAAATACAGTCTCAGAGGGTATTGCTACTTCAAGGAACAGAAAGCTTGAACCGAGCTAGTCAAAGCATAGAGCGTTCACACCAGATTGCTGCAGAGACGGATCAAATTGGTACAGATATAATTGAAGAACTTGGGGAACAGCGGGAGCAGCTGGAACGCACGAAAGGAAGGGTGAGTGCCATAATTCTTATACACTAGTCTTATCTTTCTGTGTCAGAAGTACAGGGTCCCTGGCACAGTTTCATGTCAACATGTCAATTTGAAAAAGAGTGTTGGGAAAAATATGTTTTTAAAAATCCTTGAAAAACGTAGTCATGTGCACCTAACTTTACTTCCACTTCAGAGTAGTGTAGAGAAACCTTTACTTTCAAGGGTTCCTTTTCAGAACTATACCTTTTCAGGATATAGGAGCCAAAGAATGACTTACTTTTCGCCGGTGTGGTAATTTGCTGTTAAGGTGACTTTGTGGCATTACTTGTATTAGGTATGACTCAGAGCATTGATCTCTACAGTCCTCTCTTAACTGATAACAGCTCCTTGGACAGGAGATTCAGAACAGGATTTTCTGAATGCAATGCATGTGCTGTATCACTGAGAAATGAGCCCTCCCCATTCTGTCATCCTTGGATGTATGATGATAATAAATCTTGTGGAATGATTTCATTCCAAAAACCATCTTGTTGAAAGAAGGGAGAAAATATATGAAGCTTGGACAATGTGCTGTATTCTCCCATGGGTCTTGTTTTTATATTTTATAAAAATCAAGCCTAGGAGCTTTAACATTTAATAGGTTCCCCCAGACTTACAAACTTACAAGACCATTCCTTTTATTGAAGCTGTTCTGCATTACTTCACTATTATCTAATCATTTTTATCTGACTTTAAGACTATGGTAGCGTTCAGTTCTGATGCAAGAACTACTTAAATTGTGACACAGTTACAGTTGATTGATTCAAAATTTATATTGACTTAATTTATATTGTTTTATAGGATTCTATTTATTTATGGTTGTGAGTCGCCCCGAGGCTTCGGCGAATGGGGTGGCATAGAAGTTCCCTAAATAAATAAATAAACAAACAAACAAAAATATAAAAAAATAAAAAAATAAAAATATAAAATAAAATAAAATAAAATACTAACTGGAAATCTCTGCTCATGCGATGCAGCTAGGTACCACATTCTGTGAATGAGCTAGGTATCCATATTCTGTGAATGAATAGGTCCATTCTCATGGTGTCCAGTGGTTGTGTGAACAGAAGGCTGCTTGTGCAGCTGTTTTTTTCCTCTCTTCCTCCAGTCCTTGCTTCATTCATACAAGGTTCCTGATCTACTTTGGATAATTTTCCCCCGCTTCCCCAGCTATCTCCCATGAGCTCCTTCTTGAAAGTCCTGAGAGTATGTGCAAGGGATTGTGGGAGGAAATTGGGAGTGATCAGCGCTATATATTTAAAATAGACATTATTAATTATGCAGTGTTGTTATTGTACTGGGAAAACAACACAGGTATATGTATATCGACCATTTCCAGAAATCCCAAAAAAGCAGACTGTAGTACTCAGTGCAGAATTCAGATTCTTTAAACCTATATTTTCATTTTTAAGAGTAATTTTTAGCCCTTATGAATGTATGCTTCAAAATGTTTGGGTAATACTTGCCAAGATGGGTTGCTAAATAAGTTGGGTGGTGGTTGGTTGTGAGACTGTGGTACAGCTGACAGGGATAGGAAAAAAACTATGCAAAATAAACAATTACTCATGTTTACCTGGTTTGCATAACTTACAGATTATATAACTGAGACATCTTGGTTCAGAATTTGAATTGCTTGGGTAGAGAATTTTAATCTTTGAACGGCACAGACCTGTGGGTATTGCCTTTGATGCTTTTAAGCATCCAAAATTTCTTATATGTATTTAGTGTAGAGCAGTAACAGCAGAGGCAGTCTCTGCCTCCTTACACCTTCCTCTCTGCTTTTAGCTAGACTATCTATGGCATGGGTCCTCAAACTATGGCCCGGGGGCTGGATCTGGCCCGCCATGCCCATTTATCCGGTCTGCCATGCCCATTTGGACCCACCACGCACGTGCCCACCACCACCGCCCACCTCGCCCCGTGTGTGGGGAGGCAGCGGTTTGGTCGCTCAGAGAAAACAATCTCCAATTGAGCAAGCCACTGCCTTGTGCACTCGTCTCGCGGCGAGTACCCACCCCTGCCTGCACCTCCCCTCCCCTTGCTGTGCCCGCCCGCCCGCACCTCATCTCGCCTTGCCTCACACCCCGCCTCAGCATACGCACCTGCATGTGCCGCCCCCCCTCCCCCAGGCCTGCGCGCACCGCCGGCACCACCTTTCTGGCCCACAGTCGGCACCGACACCTTTCAACTGGCTCCCTGGTGGAAAAGTTTGAGGACCCCTGATCTATCTGAACTGCTTTGGAGATGGAGGGAAAGAGACTGGGATGACATTTTTTCCTTGCAGTCCTAGTCTGCTTCCCTCCTGGTCCCCCTTTTCCCTCTCTGAGACTGCTTTCCTGGCCTTGTGATAGCAGCCTGTGTGGTTCCTACTGCACAGGCAGCAGGGTGGTGTGTGTGTGCATGTGCGCACCCAGCCTTGATTTCTGGTTCTGAGGTTGGAGCTCCTTCCAGCCTTGAACCTGGGAACCTGAACTATCTTACAACCCTGCAGAAGAGGTGTAGGGACCATAGGGTTGCTCTCTAAACTGACTTACCCGAGGCACACTACTGTGTGCAAACACTGGAGCAGTGTATTTTTAAAGCAAACACGTGAATGTTAATATATTTTTTAATCTTTTTTAGCTAGTAAACACGAGTGAAAACTTAAGTAAAAGCCGGAAAATACTGCGCTCCATGTCAAGAAGGTTAGTAAAATATTGTTTCAAGTCTTGGATCAAAACCTTTGTGATGTTCAGCACTGGCAGTCCAGTTTTACTGTGGTTCATGGAAAGTCCATCTCTTCTGTACAAGGTTGCCTTGTCCTGAAATATTTTCCAGTGCCTAAGAAACCTAGTGTGAATCAACTACCATTTTATAAAGGCTGCATTTGGAATAACAACCATTTCCAAACATGGTGGTTTGATTCAAAAACATACACTAGGTTAATATGACAGTTGTCTGCTGGAATGACATCTATTTTGTATACAGATATAACAAAGTTGTTATTGTTTGATTTAAAGTTACTCCTTAGGAAGCATGATGGATTGTAATCTAGTGAAGGCTCTTCCTGAACAAAGGGAGAAAGGTGATTTTTGCAATTGCTCTTTCCTGCAGCCTCCTTTGCCACCTCCCATGATGTTCTGGAGGGTGGTGGGTGTCTTCAAAATTCTGGAGCTGATTTTCAGAGGGCTGCAGGAATAGTTGTAAGGCAGATTGATAAGAATTGCTAACAGAGTGTCTTGTAAATGGAGTTGTGTATTAACATTAACTCTGGATTCAAGTTGTTGTTTATTTCTCCCAAATAAGTGCTTAGAAAAAATACAAGAAACTGAGAATATAAGCCCAAAGGGAAGATTCATATGAACAAAGCAAAACAGATTTTAGTAATACTTCTATACAGCTTCTAGAGTAACTTCTTGGTATTTTTTAGTCCAACTGTGTATGTGTAAAAAGATACTATGAAATATCAATTTAAAGGACATGCATATCTAACAGGTAAATAATTGACATGGCAACAATTTGCTCATAATGTGTGAACAAGCTTTATACTCATTAGCAAAACACAGACATACTTCCAAAATTTAACTATGATTTGTCACATCTGAAATGACTTAGTGGTTTAAAGCTGGTTTGCCATTGCAACCAAGTTGACAAACCATGGTTACAGCCCTTGCTACAATTCCTAAGGCTACTGTGTTAGAGAAAGTTCTAAGCAGTTAGCAATGAAAGCACTCAAGCAGCTCTCACTGTAGTTCTCTAACATAACTTTCTCTAGGCCTGAGGTGGCCTTCCAGGTTTTTTGGTCTAAAATGAACTATCCCAGCATAATCAGTAGAGAGGGTTGATGAGGGAGTTGTAGACCAAAACATCTGGAGGATCACAAGGTGCTTGTGCTAGGCTGTTCGCAGCCTTGGTCTCTTTGACTATCAGCCTGTTCCAACACTTCTTTATTTCAGCTGCTAAGTCGATTCTCAGTGCCAGAGCCAAAAAAGGAAGGGTATTATACATACTCAGTTAACATTATTTATTGAACTAACCATAGAAGGGGAATTCAAAGACAATATTCTAGCAGTTGATTAGAGGAAAGAGGAAAAATGTGTGTGCTTCAGACATCTTTCTTGGCAGCCTGCTAGTTTTCTTGCAAGGCTCTCCCCTATTATTTGGATGATTACATACGGTTTTCGGAAGGTGAGAGGAAACATTTCTGGGTATCCAAAGATGCATTGTGCACATTTCAGGGCAACCAAGGAGAGAGAAAGTAGCAAAACTGCTGAAAGGAAGGAATGCACTTCCTAACTTATCAAGTACTGTTGCCTTGGTGATTGCCATCCAGTAATAATGTGGTAACACATAATCCCACTGTGCCAGTGGTAGGGCAAATATAATAGTTTGGAATAGCAGCTGGGGAGATGGGCAAGAAGTGACAAAATATAAAGCATTGTTTGACTGTATGTTTGGAACACAAATAGTGATTTGGCTTCTCAGCTTCAGTTACCTTGAATTATAGTCTAATATCCGAATTCAGCACACAAATTCTATAATGTTTGTAAGCCATCTAATTATGGCTTGGTACTAGAATTTGAAGAGGCTACATTAACTTGCCCATTAAATTTCATTCTAAGTATTCACAGATGTTTCCATATGAAAACATAGAATAATCATAGGAGAGTTGGAAGCGGCCATGAAGTCAGGACTTGTTAACACGTTTTTCCTATTTGGAAGTAACTTTTTGTTTTAAATAAAGAATCCTAGGAACTGTTGAGTTCCTGTAAAATTAAATATTGGTTATTCCTTTCCTGTGATTCCTGAGCTTTGCTGCTATACAATGTACATGTTCCAGAGTAAGCTTCATTGAACATAGTGGGATGCATGTTCTAAATATGATACTTAAGGCTTCTATCTCATCTAGTGACAATCTCCTAGATAAGCAGTATTGTCAGATTTTTAAAATCAGTTAAGATCAGTTAACAGATTTTTTCAGTTAAGATTATGTTTCATTTTTCATTCTAGACTTATGACAAACAAGTTATTGCTCTCTGTTATTATCCTACTGGAGCTAGCCATCCTGGCAGGCATTGTCTACTACAAGTTTTTCCGCTAAATTCTCAAGATACACAGCCTTCTGCCTTTGTTTTCCATCCACCTGAAGGACTATGCATGAACACTGCTGAGCAATGGCTCTTGGGCACAGATTGAAAGGGGTGGGTTGTACTTAATATAATATAGTTGAAAGACACTACTGATGCGGTAGTAGTCTTGACAGTGTGCTCATCTGAGAATGGTGCTGGGCTGCTGAGAGGAAATATGGCTGGAAAAAAGACAAAGAGGAGTGAAGTAATGGTAAGATTGTATAATTGTAAAGTAATAAACATTTGTCTAAGCTGACTTGTTGTCTAACTTGCAGCAATTTGGTCATGCAGTGGAAAAAGTAACTAATATCTCCAAAACAGAACACAGAGTGTAATATAGTCAGTTCTTCAGTCTGTCCATGTGAATAGGTCAGCAGAGCTGTATATAATGCCCAGTGTGAAGCATCTGCTGATTCTTGGGGGTCCTACATCCGGACTTGCTCTTCACTGTCGGATTCATCTGGTGAACTGGGTGATGGGAGATCATCAAAAACAATGTGTGCACCTTCTCTTGTCTGCCCAAAGCATGTAGCAATCACATCTACTGCAAGATTAGCTGTTGCGTTCACTTCCTCCTGTGAAGTTCCAAGTAGGGGATTTACTTCTACAAGGTCCACAGCTGAAAGCAGCCCTAAGAAATTAAACACAGTGTATAATATGAAAGAAACTGTGAAACTTTTTTTTAAAGTACCAATTCAACCAAAGTACAAGTTATTCATACTAACTGTAGTGTGACATGCATCTTGTATGGGTTGACTGGAAGAAATTCTTGCAATTTTAAAAGTATTACATGATTCAGAATAACCTTGTATTGCCTTTCATATGGCCGTCTAAAATAACAATAATGACTAACAGTTTCAAGTTAAATCTTTAGGTTATATTGCCAGTAGCATAAAACACAGATCAAACTAGTGGCATCTAGTGGCTAAACACTTAAGAAATGCTGCAAAATAGATGCATAACCCAGCAACAAACCATGGGTTCCTTTCTGGGTTTTCTAGTTAACAAACCATGATTATTTTTAGAAAGGCCATATTCACACATCATGACATTCTAGAATTCAGTGATGTCTGAACTAGGCTACTAATTTCTTTTTTCATTCTAGAGAATCTAGCAAAATTACAAGTAATAAAAGGATGCAAGGGAATAGCAATGTGATCACAGAGCAATTAAAATAACAGTTCCTGTTAGTAAGTTAAATTTCCATAAAGATTTTAATTGTAAGAATTTAGTTGGAATAAAGTCTGTTTGGATTTTTTTAAAACTAGGAAATGTGATTTAGGCTTTGTTCTAAAGAATTGTTTTCCTATTATTGTAAGTGTGCAGTCCCATCTTTCTCATGAATTTCCTTCCAGAAGGGAGCACAGTAAAGAAAGAACATGAACTTTTGTTTGAACTGTACTCCTACCTGTTTATTTCAACCATCTCTAAATACTTTGTAATATATCTACCATGCAAACATATACTTTTTGTATTATCCTAAGTTAGAAGTAAAATATGTTCAAACTGGTTCTTACCTGTGTTATGTATTTCCTCTGAAATGTACATGCCTTCACGATATGTTAAGCCACCCAAGACAGGGGTCCCTGTTGCTGGAGCCAGTGTTGGGTCAAAAGCATCAATGTCAAAGCTCAAGTGAATTGGTCTTTGTCCTCTGTGGAAGGAGAATTATTTTATAGGAGAGCCCTTGTGTAATGAATCACTTATACTAAATATGAACAAAGAATGACCAATTAGACAGAAAACAGATAATTGACTAGCATGTGAGTATGTCAGGTATTTTTTGTCAGACAAAGTATCTTCCAAAAGATTTTCAAAGAGGTTTACCTGCCCAAAAGATGATCAAATGTTCTTTCCATCACTTTCTGGATTCCAAATCGATCAATATCCCTCATTGAAAAATACTGGATGCCATAATTCTTCAAAATATAGCTGTTTATGAGAAAAAATAGTGTAAGGTTATCATGTGCTGTAAACCAAGATAATTACTGTTGGTGCTGATAACCTACAAATGCAGCAGCAGCCCAAACCAAGTGCTTGTAAAATATTTTCCGAATCCAACTGTCTTGCACTTACTGTTCAGCAGGATCAACATCCCTCAGGCCAATATATACAATATCAGATCTTGAAAGGCAGGGCTTTAGCCAGGAAAATCCAGGAAGCAATGGCACCTACAGTAAAAGAGAAAAGAATGTGTTCCTGGGAGGCTTTGGGAGACATGTTTTTCAGCCTTACACTTTGTATCAGTAAAGGAACAGTTAGACTTTTTCAGACATGTATAGGGTTTCACCCTAAGTGATCTGTTACATTCTTCTCCAGGAGTAAGATCATGGGGCCTCTGGTAGCTCCAGCTATATCCACTATCTGTCGTAACTTAAGAGCGTCTGGAATTAATGGCTTCCTTCCTAGTCTTGGGTTTCCTCTTTTTTTCCTGACTTGTGCAGCAAACCTGGACTTCTGCCTGATTCTGCCATTTGGATTGTTTCCACTTGACTGCTCCCCTGTGTTTGCGCTTGTTGCCCATCAGATCACTTTTCCAGAAAACTTGTTTCCCTGGTAAACTGTTTTGACTATAAGCTATATATTGACCACTCCTATCTTAGCCTGCTCCCTTTCTATGGTGGAACATTTCTGTTTGACGACTTGCCTGCTTAAATGACTTCTTTATTTGGATTTGTCCCTGTACTGGTCTAGCCTTGAGCCTGACACACCTGGAGTAGGACACTGGCTCCATGATTTCTCCAGGCTCAGCAATGAAGAGATTTACTATGTGCTTCCCTGCTTGATCTGCATGCAGTCCACTCTGTTCAGAAGCCCCCAAACGCTGAGGCATCTGAGATTGCTATGTCCCATGAAGCTGAAGCTGGCAGGGTGGGAGGAGTGGCATAGGCAATCGTTTTGCTCTCCATCTTCTGACCTTTGGGTTTTTGCAAGATGGGCTTTGCAGCTTGTCCAGCAAGGATGCTTTGCAGAGGAGGGGAGGAGACTGGAGGTAGCTCAGAATAAGTATTGTCCTGGCCTCTCCAATCTACTTCTTCCTCTGTCTAGCAGAACACTACCTCTTCTTCCCTCTCTGAGGACAATTCTTCCTATACTGGACAGGCAGCTGGTACAGTTCTTTCTGCAGTGCTTTAGATATCAGAGCATTGTCTCCATCCTCAGAGTGGGGAGTCCAAACCATTCTGTGGACCCTGGAACCATGTGATTGCTAAGATAATTGTGTAAACGGAGGCTAAAATAAAAACAACTTACTAGTACCCCGTCCCCCAGTGTCCCAGACTTAAGGAAAGGCCAATGAAAACTGGTCGGTCTTCAGTTTGGAAACTACTTGCTTTCTTTGGACAATCTGTGTAATGTTTTGAATTTTTTGTTTAAATATTCACAAGACTGAAAGGTAACTTAAGATCTAGCATCCCCATGCCTGCCTCAAGCAACCATGATAAAATCTTTTGGTATTATTTTTCAGAAGGAGTGTTCAGGTGTGTTCCCACGAGTTAAAATTGCAGTGTCACAAGCCCTATTGTGGTCCTAGTGAGACATGGGAGCCAAACCTCATCAACAGTAAAAGGCTGTCCTAAAGGTACATTTACTTGTGGCAGGCATAAGGATTCTAGACCTTACTGTAAGTGAGAAAGCAGCGTCACCTCTGTTTTATATAATTGACAAGCAATGGAGAAAAGGCAGATTTATACTTCACAGCTGGATGGCCCAGTCCCTGCTTACCTTATCTTGAAGTTCTCTTAAAAGAAATGAGACTGGTTGTCCATGAAGATTTCCTGATTCAGTTGTGAGTGGAGTATTAATGTCAGCATGCGCATCAACCCAGATCACGCATAAGTGCGGGTATTGTCTTGTGTGGCCACTGATGGAACCAAGTGCTAAACTGAAAAGAGATCAGAATTCATTTTTTATCTGTTCCACATAAATTAGGTCAAGCAGTTTTAGAGTATCTGGTACTCTAAACATAGCTGGGTGCACAAAGAAGATAGCCACTTATAATACAAAGGATCTTGGAGACCATGTATACAATTACACTAATTACTCTGATCCCTGATATCATACTAGAACCATCATCCCTGCAAACATGGACAGATAAGCATGTTTAGAATCCTGAGTGCAACTTTTTGTACCAGGCGAAGTTTAAAACACATTTTAAAGACAAGCCCTCAGAATGTTGCAGTGATCTAGTCAGAAGTTAACAAAAGCCTGCATAATAGAAGCCATATTGATCCTTTTCAGGAATGGACAGTTCAGGACTAGTCAACTGTGGCACAATTTCTGCTTGACTATGAGGAGCACTTCCAACCTATAAATTTGATCCCTAAAAGGGAGAAAAACCATGTACAGAAGGGGCTGTAGGCCACCTTTTGAAACCTGCCCTCGAGGTAAAACTGAAGCAACCTCATAATAGCAACTCCCAATTTTGCTGGATGGCTCAGAATGCTACCATTGAGAAGTCCAAGAAAATAGACGAACTGCTGCATTTTCCAGCTCCCTTTGTCAGGCAAGCACAACTGCAACTAAGGCAGGCTCAGTACTAAACCACATGATTTTTCAGTCTTCCACAAATAGCTTGAGGTAGGCTAGCACTATCTGTTCAAGCACATTGCCCAAGAATTTAAATTTAAAAAACACCGTGTGCATACAAAGAGAGAATAAATCCAGGCATGGAGTTGCCTCTTCTAGCTTTCAGTAAGTCACATATAAAAGTGAGCATAAAGCATATGTATTCAACATAAAGTTGAATACCTTTGAATCAGCAAACACTAGTAAGCCTATGAATGACCCCTTCCTCTATTCAGAATCAATCTGTTATATTTCAAAACTATTGCTTTAGACTTATCAGGTGCCTTGCAATGCTTAATAGTTTAAACATTGCACCTGTAGCTATTTCATTTTGTTACTTGTTGCTAGAAGTTGATAAAGCAAAGGGAAAAATACTGAAATATCACCAAGTAACTAATTATTTTATTTATTTTATTTATTAAAACATTTTTATGCTGCCCAATTCGCCGAAGCCTCAGGGCGGCTTACAACAATTAGTTAAATAATTATAATTAAAAATATAAACATTAAAATAAAATACATACAATATAAAATAAGCCGCCCTGGCCAGATAAAATTCAATAATATTAACATTGAAAATGCTGCTTAAATAAAAAGGTCTTCGCCTGGCGCCGAAAAACAAATTTAGTGACAGAACTAAGAAAATAATCCTTTTTTTCCTGTTCAGTCATCAGTACATTAGTTGTTTGGTTGCTTTTTTTGTTAGTAGAGCCTAGAACACTCTGAGCCCAGCTATTAGTGACTTGGATGGATTCTGCTTTGTTGCCAGTGATCTGCCTCATATCTTGTGAAACATATTACCATTCTGCCAGGAAAAGGGAGTGCAAATTTATTCTGCATTAGCATCAGAAACTGCATAAGTAGAACCAAGCTGAATCTGCAGCAAAATCCTCCTTTCACTGTAGTACAGCGAAGTAGTGGTGGAAAGAGACATTTTAATGGTCTTCCACATTAGCTTCTTGTATATAGAGAATAAGCACACCAGATCAAATGGTTTTGACTCCTTCCAGTATGCAACCTTTCTACATCCATAGCCCCTAGATGTACTCTGCAATAGGGTAAGTAGTGAAAAATATAGCCCTGCCTGCAGCCTGAAGTGCTCCAGTTAAGGGAAGTCTACAATGGAATGTATGGCTCAGCATTTAGTTCCCCACAAGTAGCCAATTTCATCACTTGTGGAACTTTTCCATTTTAGCAATTAAACATGCACAGTAAAAGTATTATTTATGGTCTCGAATACTAGGCAAAACCAATTGCCATTTACCATAGGAAACAATGATTAGTGCTGATCATGCTTTAGCATGACTTTTAATCAGCCAGCACTAATTCAGCGAATGGGGCGGCATAAAAATGTTTTAATAAATAAATAAATAAATAAATAATAAATAAATAAATAAATAAATAAATAAATACAGATAAGGAATCCACATAGGGAATATATTTTACCATTCATTAAGCAAAGCAGGTTTAAAACTTACTTCACTCCTTGCTAATCTTTGTCAGCTCACCTGTGATCACCTCCAATGGTTATACAGCTATGTCCAGCAGCAATGGCTCCATTCACTGTGTCAGCCAGAATTTGGCTAGCTAAGCCTACAGAGCGTGGATATTTGATTAGATTATTGTAGAGCTCATCATTGGGCACGGGGGTGAAACTCAAATCACCGAAGTCATATACCTGGCAACCTGGGGACAAGATAAATGGAATTAGAAAGTTGGTAGTATACTTACATATACCTGTACTAGTGTACTAATGTATTCAGCCATATTGCTGCTTATGCAAGAACCCCACCTTCATATTAATGCTTAAGTGAACTTGTTAACTTATTTCTGATTTTCATTTTAGTTAAACACTCCACCTGCCCCACCACAAACAGTAGGGGCAGAGCACACTGTTCTCAAGTACATGCCTGATACCCAACACTGGCAGACCATTTGCTATGTTCTGCAGCTACAAGCCCAAACACTGAAGAATATTTAAAGAATAGCTCTGAAGTAGAGTCATGAAATGCATTCTTCACTATAACTGCTCCTACCTGAAATTTCAAGTGCAACAATTCAGGAACAGCCTATAGTTTGAAAATATTTATAGATTCTTTTAATCAATTATTTTCTTGCCCTCAAAATTATGCATGATTTAGGGAGCAACCCGGTGGCTGCTAGATGATGTCCAGATGACTAAAGGAAAGGTTGAGCTCCAGCTCCAACCTCAGAAACACATCCCAAGATCAGAGCTAAAACTCTGACCTCACAGTACCTTCCCCCTCTTGCAGGAAGCACAATTCTTCCTGCATCAGCCACAGTTCCTAGAATGGAAGACCAACCTCCAAAGGAGATGCTGTTGGGGTGAGGAGGGAGAAGAATGGGGCCCCTTGTGAGCAGGTATAAAAACACATAGAGGCTGAAATCAGCTAAGTGCTTTGAGGAGCAGAATAAGCACAAAAGTGATCTTCATCTTATCACTACTTCTCTCGATAGGATGCCCATGATCCTCCAAGTATGGAGGGCTAAAAGCATTCCTATTATGTCCTTAGACTTTTCGGAAGGGGATTTGAAAACACATGCATGGTTTTTTTTAACAACATATTTTAAAACTTGGAAAAGAAAACAACAGGAAGTTCAAACAGCCACTTATTAGTGTTTCTTCTCAGGTCTTTTCTTTCTTTAAAAAATACCATTGCCAAGTATACTTAGGTTGAAATCCTATAATGTAGTACCAGCTCTGATTGAACTCAGTGGGACATACTTCTGAGTAGCATGTTTAAGAGTGTCCTCTCAAAGGAGATAATTATTTTCAAAACAAACATCAGAATATCAAATAGACTACAGTTATAGGCTCCCTTTAGAGTAATAACACAATGGCTTATGAGATCCTAGCGGATCTCAACAGTGTACTTTGCTTGGAAGCAAGATCATGTAAATAATGTAGGTTGGCCATTTCTAAGCTGCCAAAACAAGAAAAAATTAATTTGCAAAACAAAGGACTAAACGAGGGTGCATATTTGGATAAAATGTGCACATGCTCTTTCATATGTACAGTTGCAAATTTAGAAATTATGTTAATTTTAATGGAAACAGTACATTTCAATATAGCTTAGAAGATGGGTGACTTGCATTCCTGCCTGTTTAGTCTACTATGCAGATGCAACCTGATAACAGGATAATCAGTCCCTCTGTTTGTATTTTTTTATTTTTAAATGAATTGAACAAAGCAGACTTTCAAACTGAGGCTGAACCTTTGGCACCTCTTCAAATAAAAGACTATTGGGCTTTAGGTTGCCATTTTAAATATCGATTTAGTAAAGTCATAAATAGTTTTATAGTACCAAAAAAAAAGTCAAATTGGTTAGATTATTTCTGTCTGATTTGCAAAACACTGAGGGCTCAATAAAGGGCCTTTAGTTTTATCTGCAGAAAGTTAACAAAGCAATCAAATGGCCTAGAGTTTGGCCTCAATTCTGATCTATGAAGGTTGCATAGAGTCTAACGTGGCTGAAGAAAGCTTGCAGTACATATTCCATGAAGAAAGAATTGAGTAAAGCAGCAGTAGTGGGTAATCCTTAAGTTTACAAACCTTATGAAATTGGGTTAGGGACAGTCCCCCCCCCCCCACTTTCTAGAAATGTTTTTGGTACACCAGACTCAACCCGCTGCACAGCTTCTTCATCTGTTCATTCTGCCCACTTTAGTCTGCTTCACAGACAGCAGGGGACTCAAGTCTCACGCCCAGTTTCCAGGCTTGCCTTGTCTTTGTGTCAGTGTGTAACCGGACAACCAGCAGGCTGGGACTTGCAACTCCATTCTGCTCTTTCATCTTTTCTTATGAGTCATCATAAGCCTTTGCTATTTGTGCATCAAATACCAGTAAGACAATGCTTGTTTGCACATGCCTGCTGCCATTCAGTGGAATGCATATTTTAAGAAACAATAATTTCCAGGATCAGCAAGCAATACATCAGCAGGCAATACTGGGGAGCACCTCAGCTATTGGGCAGTATAAAAATAAATGATATCTCCAGCACATTTCCCTGGATTCCACCGGTTCCCATCCTTTAAGAGCCCTGATCTCATAGAAGCCCGTTCATAGGAAAACTGCACTATGACTAAAGAGTAGAAGAAAATTGTCTGAAAGCAACATTATGGTCATCACTTACCTTTAAATTAATTTAAATCCAGGTGACCTGTTTTAACTGATTTCTTGGTATTAGAAAAGAAGGGCAGTTTTTTTTACTACTAGCACAAGGAACATCTTCCTCCCTTTTGGTGCCTGGCAATCTAATCCAGAGGGTTTCCTAGAATGGATTTTGAGGGCAAGCAGGAGGAGGTAGAGTTATTTTGCTTCCTGTTCCATTGACAACTGCTCCCATTAGTGGAATGACAGTGTAGATCCAGCCCACTGTATAAGAGCATGCTTTCTGTGGACATCTGGGCTGACCTGATCCGCTCCTGTTTATCTGCAGCTAGCTGCTACATCCAATACTCTTGGGGTTACTCACTGAGTCCCAAAATCAATTTCAGTTAACTGTCTCACTGATCAATAAAGTGATGGGGTAATCCATATATTTTAATCAGTTAATTCTGGTGCAAGAGTAACTATACAAATACACTATACACAGTTAAAGACTAAACTTACTATGTAATAGGGCTTATGGCCAAAAGCTGTTATATAATTTTGTCTCTATGCTACTCTCTTAACCTCAGAGGGATTATTCAAATAAAGAGCAGGACATTTAACATGAATCATAGAATAGCAGAGTTGGAAGGGGCCAAAAAGGCCAACCTCCTGCTGTTGCAGGTCACCAATTTACAATTCTGTGTATCCAGAGTATGTCTGAAATCAGACAGCTAGCAATCTTCTAACATAAACTGTTATATTAAGCTTGATACAAAAGTAATGTTTTGTCATCATGTGCAAACAACAATAAAGAACCCTGTTGGTTCTCCTGGACCTATCAGCAGCTTTCAACACCACTGACCATGGGGACAGGCTGGCTGAGTTGGGTGATGGGGGCACTACATTGCAGTGGTTCCACTCCTTCCTGGCCGACCACGTCTGGAAGGTGGCGCTGAGCGTGACTTGCTCTGCTCTGTGGCAATTATGCTATGGGGTTCCTCAAGGCCCTATACTATCCCCCATTCTGTTTAATATCTACATGAAACCACTGGGAGAGATCATTTGGAAGGGTGAGCTCAGGTGTCATCAGTCTGCTGACACCCAGCTCTACATCTCATTTTCAACTTACCCAGGTGAGGTGGCTTCCATCCGGAATCACTGCCTGAGCTCGATAATGGATTGAATGAGGGCCAATAAATTGAAGCTTACTCCAGATAAGATGGAGATGCTATTGGTAGGTGGACCATCTGCCCAGACGGTGGGCCTTCACCCTGTCCTGGATGGAGTTGCACTCCCCCTGAAGGACAAGGTTTGGGGCTTGAGGGTGCTCCTGGAGTCTCAGGTGAACTCAGTGGGCAAGAGCACCTTCTTTCAGCTACACTTAATTTACCAGCTGTGGCTCTACCTGGACAGGCAGAGCCTAGCCACTGTCACACACACTCTGGTAACCTCTCGACTATTGTAATGCACTCTATGTGGAGCTACCCTTGAAGACTGTTTGGAAACTTCAACTGGTACAAAATAGGGCAGCGTGACTGCTGACACAAGCAGTTCCATATCCCTCAGATATTATATCATCTGCACTGGTTAACATTTGAGCTCCAGGCCCAATTTAAGGTGCTTGTTTTAACTTATAAAGCCCTAAATGGCAGGATACCTGAAGGACTGCCTGCTCCCATATATACCTACCCAGTCCCTAAGATGAAGTGAGGAGGCCCTTCTGAGAGAGCCATCCTCCAAGGAGGTAAGGAGGATGGCAAACAGAAGAGGGGCCTTCTCAGGGGTTGCACCCTATTTATGGAACGGCCTTCTGAGAGCAGTTCGCCTGGTGCCATCACAACAATCTTTTTGGCGCTGGGCAATGATCCTATTCTCCAGGAATTTGAATAACTGATTTTAAAAATGTGATTTTATACTGTGTAATTTTAATACTACTGTTTTAATCTTTTTATATCTGATCCCTCACTGGCTGTTGATTATTATGTTTTTTATCAGAAGTTTTTATTGTACTTTTGTAATCTGTTTAGAGAATCCTCAGACTAATTTAATGTGGAATATAAATTGAATAAATAATTGAATAAATAAATCCCTCAAGCCTTGTTAGCAGAGCTGTCTGCTGGGGCTTGCCCCTTTCGTAACTTGAACTGAGCCAGCATTTCTAGCAAGAAGCCAGGAAAAGGAAAAAGTGCATTTATACCCAGTCACATCCCATTTTTTTTATACCTGCACTTTAGGCTCTTTTACAGGGACTCCCCCTTTCTTGTTTGCAAATTTTTCCCCATGAGACTAAAAGCTGGAAAATCCCCTCTTGTTCCCACTAATGGCATTTTGTCTGTCATTATCATATGAAATAGGCACTCTCCACTGATGAGCCAGAATTTCATTCTTTACAAAGGTATGTCAATTACTGATTGCACATGAAGGAAAAGGGGATATTTGCATAATGCTATGATTTACTCACTGGAAATTATGTGGGTGATTATAAATTGCTGGAAGCTACAATTAATACAATTTGATTTAGTAACTTGGTTTGCTTTCAGATTGGTAAGCCTAGTTCAAGTAAAATGAATTC